AATGTCTTCCTAGTTACATAAGCTAACTTAAACTTTATTTTAACAGATTTCTGATAATTTTTTTTTCTTTTTAATTTTTGACCGCTCACCGTCTGATCCAAACATAAAACATTTTGCAAGTTGCGAATTTTGCTCATTGGTATATAGTTGTATCCTACAGTACTTGAATTTAAAAACTTTTTGTTTGTTCTAACGAGAAAATTCTAAATAAGGACCGAGAGGCGCTAAGGTAGGATTGTTACCTTCTAATGCTAACTGTTTTCCAAATATACTTCCTTGAATAAAGTTTTCTACAGTTCGAGTTTGTCCAGCGTCTCTCTCTCTATGCTTATGGTCCAAATCAACTTGGGAACTGCAAGATAACACAAAAGAACATGTTAAAATACAGACTTAACTCAACTTGCTTACAAAATAACAAAATGCTTAACCCCTTAACTCCCAAAAGTGATTCACATGTAACTTGTTCCTTCAATATCCATCCACTATCCAGCAAACAGGTAATGTATATACTCTCATGATTGGCCCAGAAACCTTCAGCTTGAGCAAGTAAAACATGCAAGAAATTTACGGTCATCAAGTACCATAAATCTAGTTATTCCCTATGCCTCGGGCACTTTTCAGTATAGCGCGGCAGCCCTCTTCAATTCTCTGCCATCCAATGTTAAATACTGTGATAATTTTAAATCCTTCAGTAAGCAAACATCATATATTTTAAGGGAGCGCTGCCGGAATAGGGCGGAATAATTTCTTGCCTAGTTAAATAATGTATATATTGTATAATTACATTTTACTGTTTATTACCTAGCTTTTTATCAGTTTGAAATACAAAATAAAATAAACACCGCACGCAGTTAATTAGCCACGGTAGTCGAAGCCAGAAGCTGTTTAGCACTAAACATAAGTTTAACCTAAATTTAGAAAGAATCCGGCGAAAAATCGATTGTTGATCATGCAGTCGACGAAGAACCTAGAACACCACAAAGACCTATGAATGTGATAACTTGAAAATACCCAAATGCCACCAATTGCTCAAAAACACGTTTCGCAGATGAACAAAAAAAATAAGGTTAAAATTAAAGTTTTCTCGAGACGAAACGACGTCATACCGGCCATGAACTATTTCAAAAGTATCTGATGATTGTTTTGTAATATGAATGCGATTGATGAAGTTGCGGTTGGGAATCCATCTGTGATAGAGGGCCAAATGTTTAACATCTTGAGCGAGCTGGACTTTAAGCGTGTTGCTCAACGTGTTTGCTGGAAAATTCCGTCAATTTTTTCATCGTGTAAAATGTGAAAGGTAGTTAATTGCATCGGCCACGTATTATGCTGACACGCAACTAGAATTGGCCATTGTCCGAATTTCATAGTAGTTATAAAATTAGTACTCGAGGTTTTTGAACATCAACAACTTTCAATAAATCAAAAGCTGCTGCTCACGTTATACATATTGAAATACTCTTAAAAAAATTGGTTACCTTAAAGTGCCAAACATTTCCACGAAAAGGTTTTGCCTTATCCACAGCAAGAGAGAAGGACAATTTGCAGGTCAACTTTGGGCGAAAAAAATTAATGTTTTGTTTTTTAAGATAGTAAATTTGTCGAGGCGCGCCCGAAACGTTTGTTACATTCCAATCATTCTTTTTCAGTGCTCTGATTTTATTAATACTAATTTAAACGAAAAAAAGTTTGCATAATGTTTTATCTAATCTGAACAAAGCTGGAATATATTTCCATATAAAATTGGCAAAAACATTTCTATAGACAATCTGTCTTTATCTTCTCTTTCACACCAAATTATTAGCTAAGACAGGTTTAGTTTGAGTTTGGTTGTCGAATGAGCACTTGTTTTAAAAGTTTGAACGAGTTTTAGAACCCCGCTTCCAAATGATTAACTTGAAATTGCTTCTTATTTTTCATCTCCTTCTTCCAAACTTAGAATGATTTGATAAAACCTTTGTCTCGCAAAACATTCCGACTGTTTACCATTGTCTAGACTATTACTTTGAAAACTTTTAACTGACGTTAAAAGAAAGAATGTTGTTCTTTAACCAATACATCAGCAGTCACATGTACACACTAAAAGCGTATTTATTACTATTGATGACAGAGGGCATACCATGCTGAAATTCTTTGCTTTTGTTTCCTTGCTATTTTCCTGACATATGTTGGAATTCCCGTTTAAGTAGCTCATCTGCAAGGAATCAAAATAACAGTATTATTTCCCATTTTTGCGCGGACTGAATCATAAATGACGTTGAATTGGTAAAATAGAAATGTTCTTCTGTTTTATCCCTGCAGCTGCATTGGTAAAGATGTGATCTTAGTTTTCTACCTGGCAACTAAATTTCTTCTCAATGTATTCAACACCTTTACTGAAAGGCACCTATACACCTATACCAGGACTTATTTTATTAAAAACTCCTCTCTCGGTTTGTATTTAACGCCAAGCAAAGTCGAATTTTCTCCTTCACCAAGCAATGACTCAGCTGAGGCGAGCTGATGCAGATAAGAGATAACTTCGCCCTCTAACTGTTCTTTGACGATATGGATTTCAGTATCGAGTTGTTGACCTAGAGCCACTTCAAAGGCCTTCCCTGGTTATCAAGAATTCTCTCAGCTTTATTAAGCGCGTTGCAGAACAAGTTCCAAGTTTAATTTAGTCTCGCTCCTACCGTTTGTTACGATGTATGAAAATCTGCATTAAGATGAGATTCCATGTCAACTTTCCAAGCAAATGTAATTCCTCGTTTCCTTCGGCCACGTTCATACCTTAGACGTGCTTTTCTAGTTCTCTCTGCCCTGAGAAGTGAACAGCTTAGACCACGAGGAACCGTAAAATGTAAATAAGCTAGGAAATTTGCACGTGCAAACTTAGATGAGAACTGCAAAGGAGGTTGGTGTAAATTTGCATACTAGGACACGGGTCGAGATGGAATTTCAAACATGGTTTCATAGTTTATATTTCGATAATTTTTTTTTTACCTGATTTTTATAACCACAATCTTAACTAATATTTGGAGGCACTTACAGGAAAAGGCTTCACGAAAACAGAAGGAAAAAGAAAGAAAACGTAAAATATTTTTTGGAAAAGTATTGGTGTAGTATCAATTCCCGGCGATTTAATTCGCAGGCCCAGCGACTATTAAAAAGAAAAAAGAGTTTGTGAACTCATAGCCAATTCAATTTAAGTACATTTTTGAGGAGGGAAATGAGGTGAGACTTGTACCGTCTTTAAATCAAACTAAAATAGATGCAACCGAAAAAAAAAATTGAACGTTAGAAGCTTAGTCATGTTGCGGGTATGCGCACTGGCTTCTTTCCAGTTTTTTCGCTTGTGCCAATTTAACCCACTTGTACCTCTTATCCGTGTGACTTACACTAAAGCGAATATCCACTTGATTTGGAAATGACGCAGGGCTTCGACAACATACATTCTTGCGATCTCCTTTCATTCGTGTGCCTAAATAAATTTGCTTTAATTATTGAAGAAAGTCGATAAAACAAGGGTCATGACTAGGGAAACAATAAAAACGGAGTGAGATATTGGGAGAGAGACGCGGCAATACCCTATAACAGCGATAAGAGAGTTGTAAGGGGTCTGAAAGGAAAAATCTTGGAGTTTTCCTCAATTGTAAGAAAACAAAATGGTCGTCAAGCAAGCTCCCAAAGTCCACACTTGGAAGCTGAATATGAACAGAATGCCATTGCTTCCGGAAACTTACCAGCACAAGCTAAACAATAATGCACTCACACAGGAACCCCTGACTCAAACGAACAGGGGTTGTAGCTTTTCATGAAAACTAAAGAAATGTTAATCTTGAAAAGAGTTCAAATCACAGTTAATTAAATTGGGAGATTTCCATAGTTAAGTTACATCAATATGGCGGTCCTGCTGGTATGGTTGTGAGCAGACTCTTACCCAGTCGCTATTTACTTGTTTGGCGGGAGAGAAGACTGGATACGAGGATAAATTGAGCCGAGCCGGGTGTCATGCGCAGGGGGGAAGCCAAAGGAAAAATTGACTGCCTCAATCAATCCTTGTTTCTTATCTTCTCTGCCCACAAAACACGTGAATAGCGACTAAGTACGAGTCTGGGTTATGTGCATTAAGGCGGTCTCATTCCATCAAATGTTGTTGGTTGTCTCACTACGAAACGAATTTGTATTCCCGAGCTACAAAACACAGAGAAGCACCCACAATAGTCCGTCTACTCTTTTTTATATCACTATTAAATATAAAATAAATATGTACAAATATTACAATTATCTTGTCTTTTCGTACAAAACGAGTGTATATAACGATACAAGCAGATTTTGAATAACGCTGCTAAAAACATAAATGTCAGAATCTGAATCTCCTACTAAGTTAATCATCCTCTAAATCTTTAACAAACTTTTCTCTATGATTGGTCCAGAAAACTCGCGCCATCCTCTCAAACAGTCAGAGGCAAAACTTACATCAATCACGACTTGGTCACCCGCGTTTCCCACCCTTCAGAAAGTTTGCTTGTTTCCACTTTGAGTTCTCATTGGCTAATGATAATATAAACCTTTGTTCTGACTGGTCGCTGGGATAACTTCGGTTTTGGTTTTTCGAAATTCATTTGAAAACTGCTCAAAAGTATATGTAATTGATTAAAAAATCACAATTAAAGGGAAATGAAGAAGCGTATGATCGTGATTAAAAGCCAGAGCATCAATTTTTAAGCATGCCTCTGTGACTACGTCTATTTGGAGACAAGCGTTAGTATTACAACCTTAACACACGGCAAAAATTTTGCGCGATATACAAAAAGCCACCGACAGAAAAATTTCAAAAGCTGAGTGTTACGTTTGTAATATTTTTTTTTCAATGTGTTTTAGTAACTGAATTTCAAAAACTTTAATTGAAAGTTCATTCAGCAAGAATGCCGAGAAAATTGAAACTGTCTTCCTTCAATACTTTCAGAAGTATCATTGATAAACTAAAGGCAAAAAAAGAAGAAAAAAAAAAAAGCTGGTGACCCGAAAGAACGTCTGTGGCCCTGATGCGACTGTTTTATGATGTGGCTGTTTAATAAGTACTGTAATTCACTATAACAAGAACTTTCACTGCACAAGCATTAAGATAGTAACTGTCCTTTCAACGAGAAGACTTTGGGGTTAATTTAATCCCTAAATAAGCATAAATATATTTAATATCTTTCTCTTCCTGTTTAAATACAGTACATTACAATTCTCCCGGTTCACTTTAGAGACTGTTGAGGTCTTTGGAAAGGGCTTTATGATTAACGAACTAAACTTTACCAATTTTTGATTTTTACATTTTCCTTGTTTCTTCTTTCATTAATATCTCATTGCTTATTCTGCCTCTGATATTGCATCACATTCCCTTGTAAATTCAATAAATATAACCCTTTGGCTGGGTTAACAAGATAAAGTATTGTTCATTGTAAGGGGAACTTAACTGTAACATCCCTTCCCGGTTAGGATTAGGCTGAAAAAAGCTTTTAAGGACTTTGAATCCGCAAGCTTTACTTTCATGTCACACCAATCAAAGGCACATTAAAAGATATGCGAGTTACGTCACTATTGTCATCGTCATCTGCTATTCCCAGTTCTCCTCTCTTCCCAGTCTTCCGCAGGAGGTGAGAGTAACGAGGGGTTTGGGTTGGAGTGGACGGGTTGGAGCGATAAATGTGTCTCAAATTAATATCTTCTACGTGAAAGTTCTCTGGCAACACTCGTTTAGGTCCTGGAGTCACGTGACGTAGATATCCGAGTTTTCCTCGAGGTAGTTTATAATCGGGTGGAGGAATACGAGGCTGAAAGGAAATCAGGAAAAAGCAAGTAAAACGCGTGAATCACTCCATTTACATAAAATAAATTGGAACTAAGCTGCGGCAGTTCTTAGAGGTGGCTACTTGTCCCTTGGTTTCCAGGTCGAAATTGGAAAACTGAGAGTTTGTTTTAGTGAATGGAAGAGAAACGGAAAACCTGGAGAAAACCCTCACTGCGACAGCGAGAACCAACCACAAACTTTACCCAAACGTGGAACCAGGTCTGGGAGTCGGACCTAGGCCACAGAGGTAGGACGAGCACCCTCGCCCCCTATGCCATCCCTTGACTTTCTGAGATTGAAGTAAAATTCTCCCTTCTAGCGACTACACATTTCCTGGTCAATCAGCAAAAAGAGTTCGGTGTTGGGTCAAGATTAACCTCAACTTGACAAGTTTGTTTATCCTCATTACATGTTTGCAGCAAAATATATTGAAGTGTATGCATAATCTTAACAATATTGTAGTATAATTCATTTATGATCTTACCGATTCTTGAGGAGGTGCAGAGATTGAGCGTGGTCTGCGCTGTAAATCCGGTTTGACCGGTCCAGCCTGCTGAGCTAAAGCAATTTTTACTAGATCCGCTTGGTTTTGAGGCTCCTTAGGTTTCGGTTTCACGTAAGCAGGTTTTTCTCGGGCTGCTGGTGGAGATACAGGCTTTTTAGCAGATTCCTGAGGAGCAGGTTTTGGCTTCCATTCATTACTCGTTGTTCTTCTAACGATGGGCTTAGGTTCTGGCGGTTGATCTTGATTTTCAAAGAAACTTCTGTGAAAAAAAATAAAGTGCATGTTGGAAACTAACCCAAAAGCTACAGCTTAAAACCTTTTTTTCCTTTGAAAGGTCACATTGGGAAGATATCCGCCTTCAGACATAAGTTTGACAAACGTTGTAGAGCATACTTAACCCTTTAACTTCCATGATCTGATGATCTGATTGTTAATTCTCCCCTCTAGCTGCTACACATCTCCTTGTAAATTAGTTATGAGAACTTGGTGCTAGGTCAAGATAGCAGCTTCTACCTGATAAGTTTGAATATTCTCCCTACCAGTTTGCTGAATAATGTATGGATATTGTAGGGAGAAGTTTCACGTTAATCACTTCTGGGAGGTAAAGGGTTAACTAAACCATATCAAAGTACTGTCAGAAGCTTTCATTTTAATCAGTCATACACCAGGGTTTTAATTTTCATACTATTAGGTCAGAACTTTCTTGTTTAGCAAAATAAATAGAACCACTTGATAGTACCACTCCAAAGCTTTCATTTCAATGGTTACAATCTAGCTTTTAGAATTCGGTTAAGTTAAAATTGCAAGTAGCCTTTTAAATTTCATACTTAGCCCTTGCTACTCGAGGAGTCGGCTTTATCGTTTCTTTAACAGGCTTGTCTTTCCCCTCATCAGTATCAGACGGACTTCCTTCCACGATAGATAACATGTCTTGGATACGACGTCCTTGATCTTTAGAAAAAGAAACAAAAAGGAAAACTATTCACTAACTTCCTTGGTGAGTCGTAGCTCTGCCCTTATGAAAATGACAATTTGTTTTCATCAGCTGAGTTGATAATGTAAATTGGCCACCCTAAAGAGTGTAAAGCTGGCATTTCGAGCCTCGCTCTGATGAATGGCTGACGCTCGAAACGTTAGCTTTTAAAACGTTTTACGGTGGCCAAATTATAGTATCAACTCAGTTGATAATACCAAATTATTTTACATTATCCTCCACTTAAGCAACCTCACAGTTTCTTTTGAAACTAACCCTTGAGTTGAGTGGCTTACCTTTAGAATCTTTCTTCAATCTTTCATCCTGGAATGAAACAACGCAAAGATACCTTAATTAGACGCGGCACGCTTCATACAATATTTTTAGAACGGTTTCCAACAATCATTAAACAATTTTCTTATAATTGTGCTCAATCAAAGAATCTTGCATCAGTTACAAGATTGGCCCAATTTAAGGAGGGTGATGTATTAATTGCTGAGGTTGACGAAAAGAAAACTTACCGCAAACTGCCTAAAGTATGTTTCGTCTCCCGCAGACCAAACCTCTTTCCTGTGAAATGAATGGATGTCTGCATTATAAACGGACAACAAATGGTATTTCCTATGCTGAAATGAACTTATTTCACAGTGATCTTATTTCAGATAAGATGCACACGTGCAGTCGAGCCAAGATGGCGGACGCTGACCACATAGAGCGCTTTCTACTTGGGCCTTGAACTGCCACAACCAGAGTACCCAGTACTATCAACTACCGCTTTACATCCTAACAGCAGTATGCATATTCTCCATACTGTTCATACATTTCCCAAGGTGCTGACAAGGAGAATTTGATTACAATCAAGAGATTGTTTAGTTGGTGGTAATTTCCTTTATTCCTGTGACCTTAACGTGTGATTAGGGTAAGGAGGAATTAGATGCCACGTCACTCTGCGGGGGAAATGCGTTAAAACGAAATAAAATATCATAAGAAGCCTGGGAGATCTCTTCGTAAAAATATGCAACTTGCCTGAAGCGCAGGAAAACAAGAGTGACCAAGTCATCTTGCATTTGACAAGTTGAGGAAGTGACACGAGTTTACTCGACCAATCACAGAACAAAGGAAGGAAAAAATAAAGCAATTCCAGTTTACTTTCAACGCTCAATTGGAGATTACTCCTACAGTGTGCACAAAAGAGAAACGCCTTTTAGTGTCCTTTATCGTGTTTACAAACCTGTAATTGCGACTACTTCGTGGCGACTCCTTATTCTGCATCTCAGCTAACAAGACTTCTTCTAGAAGGAAAAAAACACACGCTCTGTTCACACCAACTCTTAGTCACAACGAAACTCGATACTGTACCAACTGAATCACTAGTGATTGACCAAGACAAGTTTAACCCTTAAACTCCCAGTAGTGACGAACATGTAACGTCTCCCTTTAACATCCATACATTGTCCAGTAAACAGATGAGAACACTCAAACTTATCTGGTTAAGTTTGTTATCTTGATCTAACATCAAATTCTTGTAACTAATTTACAAGGAAATGTGAAGCAGCTGGAGGGGAGAATTAACAATTAGATCTTGGGAGTTGAAGAGTTAACGGCGGTTCGGGACAGGATTAAAACAGAACGATCAGCTCTTTCGGCCAGTGAGGCATTTGCAATGCACAAAGGGACACAGCGCTTACTTGAATAAGCTACAGTGTATGCCCTTGTTCGCGCATCCGTTTAATCTTTTGTTCCTTACCTATTCTTATTCCCTCTCGGCCTTTTTTGCTCTTTCCTATCTCACTTAGCTATCACTCTGTAGTCTCCTTCAAGTTAAACTGACTCAAACTATCGCAACATAAATTCCATCAGGTCGGCACACACTGAAGGAAATGACACGGGCACATCTAAAGCAGGTATATGTTGCCCGGTCAATCTTTACTTGCGCGCGTATAATTCATCAACGTGCATCGTTAATAGAACAAATCAAGAAGCTTGCCCCAGCTACACCTTCGCTCCAGCATAATATATAGATATTCCCGCACGTCTCAAGGGCACAACGCCTTGCCCCGGCCAGGACTAGAACCCGGGTCGTCCGACGCGGAGCCCAGTGCACTGACCACTGGACTACTCAACAAAGCAGTGGTGTGGCGTGCCCGCGGTACAGTTGACCACGCATGTTAAAAGTAGCACCTTGTGCGGTCGTACGGTCATACATACAATTTTTTTGGCTTGATGGGTTACTACTATTTTGTATAATTATGGGGCTACGCTCTGCGAGCTCCGCTAATATTCCGTAGAATTAACAAAAAGGGAATGATAACTTACTTGGCCGAATTTCAAAACTTCGTCTTTGTGGTACACGAGGGGAATCGCTGGCAGGGGCCTGGTCATGTTTGCGCATGGGTGGTCTCACTTGACTCTGCGATAAACGATTAAGAAGTGAGAAATATATTCTGAACATTTGATGTTAGTTACATTCCATCATCTGCGTGTTTATTTAGTTAAAAAAGGGTCATACTACCTTAGTTCAAACCGGTTTCTGTTGCATGAACGAAGGGGAATATTTCTTTCTCCAACCTCTCCACCCTTCTCCCGGTCGGTGACAATTTGCTGATACACACAAGAAACCTGACGAAATGCTATGAAGATGGGGAAGGGGAGATCAACTTGATATGGACGGGCATCCCGTTCAAGGGGGGATTAGCTTTACTACTGTACCTCTAACAGTGTTCGTACCCTTTGTCGCAAAAAGAAATTTCAAGGACTTTTCCGGGACTCAGGTGGATTTTTTTCAGGACTCCAAATTTCACTATTAACCAAGGTATTAAAATCAATTCTCTTTACGGTCGACACACATTTCTTAAAACATAAATTCGGAATACTCTGTTATTTGAAGCAGGGCATTTCCAAGACTTTTCTGGACCTGCTGTCTTTTTTCCAGGACTGAAAATAAAATTCCAGGACTTTCAAGCTTTTTTCCAGGACCCACGTGAACCCTACTTTTACCTGAGGTTGCCAGTAAGACCTACCTGTGGGCCGCGTGGTACTGAGGGTTGGTGTTTTTTGGAGTGATCCAGTAGAGTTGCCCACGACGTATTTGCCTTGGTAGGAGCAAAACAAACATCACGTTAGACCGACAACATGATATGAACGCAATTTCTGAACTCTATGGCGGGATTGCCAAAGGGTTTTTAGTTTATTTCAGAGTTTTGATATGATTGGTCTAAACCATCGTCCCCACCTGTTGGATGAAGAAAATAGTCTGCGTCTCTTGCTGCGAGGCCACTGCTTCTTCGTCATCTTTCGGGGTTGACCAGAACTCTGTAGGGTCCTGGTGCTTTCCTTCTGTTGACCAACAAAAAGCCCACATATAAATGTATAATAATAAAAATTATACTAACAAAACTAAGAACGATAATAATAAAAATATAATATATATGATAACAACAACGATAATAATGATAACAATGGAAATGATGATGATGGTGAGATAAGATATGATAATATTTCTGATAATAATAATAATAATAATAATAATAATAATCATGTTAATAATAATAATAATAATAATAATAATAATAATAATAACAATAACAGTTTGACGAACAGTAAAGCTATAGAGAGCCATGAAAGATAAATTTTTCAGTTCACGAAACAAACCTTTGACAACAACACGGTCCATTTTGATATTCGCCTGCAATGAAAACCAACCAAAAGCATGTTAAGAAGTTGAAAGTTGTATGTTACTAGCGACTAAGAACAGAGGCACATAAAAGATAGTAAAATCCTCTCACCCTCTTATGACCCTTCTGGGCTCTGAAAAAACTGTCCGACGAATCTTCCACCTGGAATGAACACAAGACAACAGTCTCTAAATAAAGTTGGCTGCGGGGCCAATTGTTCAATTCATACTTGCTTCGGATTAAAAGTGGAAATATTTCCAGATGGAGTTTAAAATTCCTTACTTGTTGGAAGAAGTAAATCATATTTGTTTCCCTTTTATCTGCTTCTGATTTTAGCTCGGAAACGTATTTGCGGGCTTTGTAACCGCGAAACGCTGAAAAGGAAATGAAAATTATAAAATCAACATTTGTAACATTGAATGCACTTTCTGAAATTTCTGATAATGTTTACGAAATAAACGGTAAAAAAAAAAAAAAAGAAAAAAACCTGAGAAGATTTTTTAAAGAAATACTTAAGGCCCCTTTCAAGTTTTTCGCTCACCTGACTGAAGTCGAACCACTGCTCTAACCTTGGCCACTGTTGAAACAAAACAAATTTGAAATGACTGAATATTTAAGATAAGCACGCATTGGAAAGTGCATTGCTACAATTGCATTGAAGGTTAAATCCACATACGACTGACCCGTATCATTGCAGAAGTTTATCGATTCACCTTCAATGATACTGGTCAACCTGGGTTCCCCCCAGAATCCCGTCAGATTTCCCGTGGCTTCTTCACCACTATCTAATTGTACACCGGGGGAGAAAGGTTCTGAACAGGATAGGGTCTTTCCCAAGAAAAGACACAAAGACACTACCAGAGTCCGGACCCAAGCTTTTCAATTCAGTGCGTCGCTTCTCGAACAAACAGGGTCATTCCACATCATTGCATTCCCATCATCTTCTTACAAACGTGACGCGACCACTTGAAATGATTAAGAAAAAATAGTCTCTCACAAAAAACAATGTAAAGCCTTACTATGTCGAAATTTTAACACTTTCTGTTTTCTTCTAATATCTGCGTAGTTCTTTCTCAGGAGGCGCCCACGATACACTGTAAAAAAAGATGATATACAATATTACACTGAACAAACTCCCCCTCCCCTACCCCCTTCCCCTCCCTCAAGGGCTTACTCCCTCTCAGTAATGCCCCTAATATAAAGTTTACACTTGATGTTAATCACTTCTTCAATCGATTATTCTTTCAAGACATTTAGCGATCGATGGCAAGTCTCCCTCGGCAGAGCTCTTTTACATATTTGCTGTCCCTAAAATTATGGCTTTTTAGTCATATTTCGAAAAGTAAAATAAAAAATCTTTCTTCTTCGTTGCTTCCCAGTACGTCTCCAAGACTACGACAAAAATCTAATGACTATTTACCTGCTTGGAGTTTGATGGCCATTTCGATTCTCAGTCGACGCAGGCGCCGATAGTGTTTCCTCGCTAGATAACCACGCACCACTGTGAAGAGACGTCAAAGAAAATCTTACCAAATTTTTATCAATCAAAGTTCAATCGCTGCTATATCTGTGGATTCCTCTTCCTTCCCGTAGACATCTACTGTAAAGAAGTCGTTATGGCTGTTGTTTTTTTAATTCTAAACATGGTATGCAGCCAAATTTCTCGTGTAGCGACTGACACAATATACAAGACATACACTACCCTACACCACAATATTTCGACTCATTTTCCAGTTGCGACTTTCAAAATTAAGTCCAATTTGAAAGGTTCATAAAATATACTTTTTACAAGGAAAGAAAAACAAAAAATCGGCAGAAATAAACCGAGAACAAACAAGGGTAGCCAAGGATGGCAAAGATTGAAACGGATTGCATTAGCTCTTCTAATTCTCTAACTCCCAGGAGCGATCGACTAGTTAAGTCTCCTTGCAATATCTTTAAATTATTCCGGAAATGGTAAGGAGAATAAAATGACATATCAGCTAGATGGTGTTATGTTCAAGAAGGTAATTTACCAGCTTGTATTTTGATGGCACTTTTGGCTTTTCTTCTCTGTTGAACATTGTACCATTTCAGCCACCAAGTGAATCTTCTTCGTTGAACCAGACGACGATAAGCTACAAAGAGAGTTTTGTACAAACAAGTTAGTCACAAAGTGTTGTTTACAATCAGCTTCAAAGCGAAGCTTAGAGGACAATAGCAAAAGCAGTTTCCTTTACTCTGCGACATGCTACCTCACATACGTTTGGGAAACAGTTGAAAGCTCTTTTGAGAAAAAAATATACAATGAGAAGGATATCTAGCAACATGACGGTTTTCACATCATTTCGAGGCTCACCTCTCTGAATGACGCAAGCTGCAAAGTGTTTCTTATTCATTTCCTGTTGATGATGCTTCCTGGCTAGGTAACCACGCGAATCTATCAAGTAACCGCGCAATGAATGATTTGTTAGTTAACTAATGCTGGAACGGTTCTTTGATATTTCTTTATTTCAATTTCCGACACACGGTCTTTTCTTCTGCGAACAACATATTCTCTAATAAATCAGACAAACGCTACCTGTGTCACGTTTTTACCTTTGTTAACCCAGAATAAAATAGTTAAAAAAGTGTCAAGAAAAGAATGTTTTTGAACTCTGAATTAGTTCTAGAGGAATTTACACGAGCACGCGAAGGCTTCAAGAGCTAAGCTGAGTTAACAGAAGCTACAGAAAGCTGGGATAGTCTCAGAGAATTCATACACACTCCGGGAAGAGTTTACGACACTAAGCGTGAGTTAACAAGTGTGAAGGAAGATTTGCGAAACTTTGATCTAAAGGTTCACACTCTCACCTTCGTTTTACTAATGTTCTTCAAGCGCTCTTTAATTAAATTCACAAGTGTCCTCAACGAATTTGAATCTACTTAAAACATTTTGAATACTTTTCTTCCTTTCAGTTTTGGCGGGCGAGCAAATAATAGCAAATGAAGCCTGAACTTGTAACAACTGATGAAGCTTTGAGCGCACATCTATCTCACCTTTATTTTCCCAAAGTAAAAAGAGGACTTACGTTTCTGAATGACTGTTGCTGCCTGATGTCTTCGCCGCCTGACTGACTCATACTGTCTGCGAACTAACCACCCTCGGACGACTGTGAATAAAAAAATAAAAAAAAAAAAAATGAAAAGAAGGCATATTATTCAAGATCTTAAAGACAGAAACTCCGCGAAGCAATGCAATCCTTTTCACACTCAATCGAAAACTGTTCTATTGCGACGCGTTTTATGAGCAAAACCGTTTGACGGCTAATAAAGAAAAATGCAAGTAGTGAGGACATGATAAAATCGCCCACTAACATGCCCAACCTATAAAGTAACGTTTTGTAATGCAAAACTAACCTCTCTGTATAGTAATAACCTTCTTCCTGTATATTTCCAGAAGCATAGCAAGCTCCTCTACATGATAATATTTGAGGAACACTTTCGTTCGCCCGATGAGCCACTTTTGTATTTTACTTTTTCTCAAGATCTCTGTACAGGCTGCAGCGTCACATGGCGCTCTCTTGTGCAGGGGGTAGGCAATCACTTGGTATCTACAAGAATAAGGATATGTTTAAATTAAGATCGTATAGTCTAGGTACTCCTGGCTATCACAAGTAGTAAACACCAATTGAGTCCAACCACTTCCTATAATAAAACTTCTTTTTTCTTTGTTGAGACAATGAAGTTAACCTCTCACGTCAACTGCCAGTTGCAGAAAAGAGCATGTAATTTGTATATCAACATAAGATCGTAATAGACTGACACCAAAGTAATATCGGATGGATTTCGAAACTCAATTGAAAATCACCCTTCCCATGCATCTTAACAGACAGACGTACCTTTTCACGAATTCTGCAAACGTGATTCTCTCCGAATATCCCTAAAACAGTTTTAAATATAAAAACGTGAGTCGCATAAAAGAAATAACATCAAAACGAAGATTAACAGAGGAACCAACCTGCTGACGAATTCTGGTGGTTTCTAACACACCAGTGTATCTGAGTTGGGTTTGGACCTTTTCCTGGTCAAATCTGCCCGCAATCATCTGTTCATTTGGTCTGATACACCTATCAATAATACAAAATGCACGTTTAACTTAAAAAAGCTTCTGCATGACGTGAGCATAAAGTGAATCTAAGCTCATTTTTTTGGAGTCACGTTTGCACATCTTTGACATCGATGGGCCGACTTAAAGCCAGCAAGTTTTTCAATGAAAATGTTTTTTTTTAAGAGTTACCGTTAGCAAATAAAATGGACTGGAAATAAATGGCAATTTTGTCCTTGTTAGCTAGCCTTGTCATGGAATTTGTTCGGAGTGAACCCTTTGACCCCCTGACGCGATCGATCTGTAACTTCTCCAAACAAAATCCATATATCACCTTACAAGCAAGTGATGAGAGTTGACAAACTTATCTGCTGAAGTGCAATATCGTGATAAAACACCACATTCTCTCCGTTGATTCGCAAAGAAAATTTACGGCTGCTAATAGGGGGAATCGAAAGATTAAATGGAGAGTCTACTGCAGCGAATTGTCCTCGAAAAGCGTCTTTATCGCATCCTCACTGCTTATGTAAACAACGCACAATTTTTCTTTGAAATGAACACTATTCAAGGAAAAATTGCTACCTGGAAAAATGGCTTTGACCATTCTTGCTTCTTGTGTTTTCAAATATCTCTTTCATGCACTTTCCCAAAATGTTTACCATTAACTTACCGCACAAAGTGAGATTCCGCGGGTAAAAGTTTGGCTAGCAAATCACGAAGTGAATACTGTAGAAGAAAGGAAAAAAAAAGTAACTGAAAATTAGCTGTAAGTCACTTGTGGATGATATGCGAAGAAATGATTCACGCATGCGCTATCAGGAAATGACTGTATATCATGTACTCACCCTGAAGTGAACAGAGACTGTTTGTTGCCATCGAGATGTGGTGTTAGATTCTAATAGAGGACTCTGCTTGGTTTCTGGCAAGCTCAGAAGGCCGTTCAGTTTCTGTGGGAGCATATAGGGATTGCCTCGGTCAGTTCGATTTTTGTTGACACAACTAATGAAATATTTTCAATTTTCGATTGAGTCAACAGTAATTGGGATGACTTTGTTTTGCTTTACTTAGCTTTGTGAAAGGTCTGGAAAATTCGCGCTAACCTCTATTCCAATCGTGACCTGGTCACCGGTGTTTTCCCGCGCTTTTGGTAGTTTGCCTATCTTTACTCGCGTTCTCGTTGGCTAATAATGATGTAATGGCTAATGTACACCTTTCTTATGATTGGTCGAGGTGATTACCTCGATTTTAAGTTTTTGAGACTCAATTGACAGCTAGTCTATCAGTACTGCTTTTGTAAGTTCAATTTCTCTTGACACAACCGATGGATAAAAATTACGAAATGTGTACAATTGACATGCTATGAAAAGGTTAGCGGCAGGATGGCAAATACAAGTTATCATGAGATTGCGCGCGTGGAGCCGTACGGCCATATGTCAACTGGTTGTTATTTGATTGCAGGATTCAAAAGAAGACCAGAAAGGACTGCATGAGAAGAAACTGCAATCAGACTAGCTAATTGACACCAATGAACACAAAAGGGAGACTGACTGGTTTCCTGATTTGATCAAACGAACGGACGATCGACCGACTGACCAGTCATCGATTAAATATTCCAGAATCAACGATCAAAGAAAGTAAAATCTATCTATCCTCACACCTTGTCTTTCTCCACCTGGAACATGGGAGGCTGAGAACTGTTTTTCTTCACGCTTACACCTGATGAAAGAAGAACAAAAAAAATGACATGTAAAACCTCTTAAGGTACCTTCAAACAACATGATTGGGTTTTGGATTAAACACATTATGAGTGATAATGTGTTTAAGCAAAGAGCTGAATCAAAATTATTTAGCAAATGTCGACGAGAGAGTCGGGAACCAGGATAGAGGAAAGATAGGCCAATTATAGACAACGGGAATTAAAAACCCTCCGGAGAGGGGAACAATTCGTTTCCAAATTCAACATTTCACTTTGAATAGCAATGGAGCACGTCGGCCTTGAGGGAGACGGACCGATTGGATTCACTGGAAGCGCTTATGACTTCAAGACAGTTCAAGAGTGGGCAAACAGCGGGAAGAGGATATTTTGAGTGGGAAGGAAAGATTAAAATAAGCCAGAGAGGTAGACAACAAAAGATGGACACGGACACGAAGAGACAACTAAAAAGGAACAGTATAATTCCATGCATGCATTGATTAATGATGAGCGGCTGTACCGCGACGAAACAGCAGCGGACATCTTTTTTTTTTCGCCTTTCCACGCGCCTTTGATAGATAGTGGGCGACACGCAATCTTACCATGACTCTTCAATTTCATTTTGAGAATTCCCTTTAGCCAGCTTTCTTTGGGTTTGTAATCTAACATGGCGTCCGTGACCCCAGGGAAAGGTTTGTTCACCCTCCACCAGTGGGGGTCCAAGGTGTGTGCGCCATCGTCAGAATGAGAGAAGTCTGGGTACAAAAATACATGAGAAAGGGAGAACACACAGAGAGCAAGTTTGGAAGAAATCACATCGCCCAGAAATAACACCTCCAGAAAACTTAAGGAAGAATCAGCAACGAGGGAGTGGTTTGAGAATAGATTAATTCACTATGAATTGTGGATAGACGTGAAGTAGAAATCCATGGAAATTAAAGTAAAACACTGTATCACGAACTTCGTGAAAGAACACCACAAACTCGCTTGATCATAAACTGCTAAATGGGTACAAGACAGAGAGACAGAGATGAAATATAAAAGTATATTGCAATATGTACCATACAGACAGAGCTAATGGGAACTTTCATTTATTTAGAACATTTATGGCAAAGGTGAGAGAAATTAAGTTCAAAAGAAAGAAACAAGAATGGAGAGTAGAGGAGTGGAAACTGTCGTAGATAATGATACAAGTCTTTGCAGTTTAAAAAAGGTTGAAACTTAGAATATCACGAGCAGTTGGTAGAGTTTACTTAAAGAGAGGAAAGGTTATGGTAAGTAAGTCTTATAAACCTTATGGGCTATGCATTTCTGTGGGAATTTATCCCAGTTCCCGTAACATTTAGCGACAAAGAGTATTCCTAACCCTCCACTCAACCTGGGTGAGATGCAAGTCTATCGCAGGATACCCATAAAAGTTTTTTCAAATTTCTCGCACATCTCAGGGGAACCTTTTCATAAACCTGGGTGGAGAGAGACACTGTGAAGAGAAGGGTGTCCCTTCCCCCGAAAAAAGAAAAAAACAAAACACGACACAATATACCGATCTGGACTCGAACACAGTTCCCTCGATCCGGAATCCAGCGCGCTAGGTACCAAGCGCACGCGTTTACTTTTTCTCATAAACAGGTACTATCCAGACTAAAGTAACAAACCTGATCGAGCCAATGGATGCTGCATGAGCGTGCGCACGAGGCGGTTATCTGTTAAAAAAATGAGGAGAATCACAGAACGCACACCAAAGCAGTTTTATACGCAACTGTTATTGGGCCTTGTCAAACAAACAGTTCAGGCGGGTCGCCAAGTCAAGATGGTCCTAAATCTTTTTCTTACTCATTCCCTTTATTTCGTTTCTTTGTTTGCTCATTCATTAAGGCTGAGTCCTTACCGCTTGATCTCAACACTTGTATGATGTCGGGAGAGAGAGTGTCGCGGTTCTTTTCCAGAAAGTTGGTTGCATCGTATTTCACCTTAAAAATAATCACACACCTTGCGTAAATCTCCAAGTCTGATTCGAATGAATAAGGAATAACGTCTTTCATTGCAGCTTGGTTTTCATTAACACCGCAAGCACAAACGCAGAGATAGCACTTGTTATTTCACCTTGAAAACGGCGTAGACGCAAGCACAAGCACAAGAGCACACGGGTCATAATTTTTCCTGTCTTGTTCTAGCGTTTGTGCTTGCGTCGAGGCAGTTTTCGCGGTGAAATAGGAGACGTTATGTTTACGTTTGTGTATGCTTCGCTAGTGAAAGCCAGGCTCTAGAAATGTGTTATTGTAAATGAGAAAGAATGCCACATACAGTCATTGAACACCTACCCGCCCAGCATAATGTGCAATGACAAACGAAGGAAAAACATCATTCTCTTTCGGTTGCTCGTAGTGTACACAATCAATGTTCTTGTTGAATTTTTCTGTGGAAAAGTAAACATGGATCTTACATTTGAGTGCTTCTCATTCGACCGCATCGAAAAGATCGAATGGCTGGGATAACGGGTATTTACTAGGAATAAGACGATCGATCGCAAGATTAAATAAAGTAGATAACTTCTATAGTAAGACTTGCTTAGCTTAGCTCACCCACGAGTGTGAAGTCTGTAGCTCTTGGAAAACGACTTTCCTCGTCTAACAGAGCGAGCAGACCGATGGGTTTCTAGAAGAAATAGAGTAAAAGCACATCATAAAATGGGGTGTTCTCTGCCTTTTTGTGCCCACCATCATGATTGCTTTAGCTTTGTTTTACCTCGCTTTACCTCGCTTTATGATTGGTCCACAAAGATCACGTCATCCTCTCAACCAATCAGATCCAGAAAATAAAACCATATGCGACTTGTTCACTCGCTCAGCTTTCCGCTGATCGGTGGTGGTCCTTTACGTAAGTTTTGGTTTAACGACACTCGACCGAAATGCAAGCCCTTCGTTGAGTCAGAGGTTACGTCAGAGATTGTCTACTGCCGAGAAGTAACATTTACAGAGGATAATTAGCTGACGTTACAACATCCGGGAGGCTAATCAGTGTTCGTTAAGTTTCCTGATTGATCAACATCCACCAAAATCTTTTCGGAAATTCTTCATGCGACATAACGAAATCATTCACCGGATTTTAAGCCGGTAGAATAGTTATTACTAGAATATTGTTATTAGCCACTAATAAAAAATTACCTGCAGAAACATATCCAGAACAGGTCGGTTGTCAGTGAATGAGATCCGTTCAAGAGATATCCCTTCAGAGCGGTATTCTTCCTGAAACATTTCAATCACAACACCACAGAATTCAAGACGAGAACATAATTTAAATTCTCTATCTTTGGTGAGTTAACGGTATCAATGTTGTAATCAATGTTAGTATGGTAAGTAAAGTTAGTGCTGCAAATAATGCTAGCGTTGTAAGTAACACCTGGGGGGGGGGGGGGAGGAGAGGAAATGAAGGGGGTACTTCCGGGTGAAAGACTAATGAGGATTTGCCACTGGATGAGTTGCATTTTCACAACTGGACCCACTATGATGGGGTTACATTTTAAATAGAGTTACTGATATGCGGTCGCACATTTTTGGGATTTTTTTGGGTAAGAAAAATCTGGTAAGTAGCGATTAAAAAGTTGTTACCGTAATTGGCCGAAAAATAGACTATAACGGGGTAGGAGTTTCTGAGACAAAAATTAAACCCCAAAAATTAAACAGCAAAAATTACCCCTGTATTATAACTGGTATATTCGCTGAAACCACACCAACGCATCAAAGCTTAACTTTGTAATAACGTCGACATAACCTCGAATATTACGAAGATATCCTGAACAATTTCTCGTAAGCCAAGCCAAAAACTGCGACAAACTTACCAACTCCCATGAGAAAATTTGCTGGTTGAAGTAGAACTGGATCTGCTCATTAGCAATGTTTATGCACAGCTGTTCAAACGAATTGCGTTTGAAATTTTCAAAACCAAAGATATCCAGTATTCCTATTCTGTAATCGTTTTCTCTGCAGAGTAAAACGAAGGTAAATATTCTCTGATAGCTCCAACAACACATGGAAAAAAATAAAACAGAAGTAAAAAGAGAACGTACAAAAAGAGACAACAAGGAAGAAAGGTGCGTTTTAGATACTTACACTGGCCGTGCTCTCTCTGTCCTCAATAAAGCGTTTATTCGGTGAACAATCCAACTAAATAGCTTGCCGTACAGTGCCTGAAAAACCATGATAGTGAAAGCTCGTGAGATTTTGAAGGATTTTACGTTGTGTGGGGTAGGGTGTATCGGTGAAGAAGGAATTTCCTTGTTCACAAAAAGATCAAGTGCTGTAAAAAAGTCTGCGTATTTAAGATAAAGCAGCTTAATCTTGTACATTTAGACTCCCTCTGACAAAAACATCGCCAAATCTACATAAATCTAGTTTCGAATTTGCACCTTTTCCAGAAGTAACGCGTTTACAAGAAATTACCCTTTCAACTCATATAAGATTTTCGCGCGCTTTCCGTTGGTTTCATGTTCTCCAGCGCTTGCAACGATGACTGTTTTTCCCGCGCTTTCTGATGGATTCATGATTTCGCGCTCGTGACAGGTGCATCCACTCTGACCGATGGTAAATGTTTTCTCGTACTTTACATTCGTTACATATTTTTCTGCCTTTCGTCCACAAATCTCTCGCTCTTTTCGCAGCATAAGTTTTTCTTCGGTTTGCACTACTTTATTCAGCGCAACTACAAAGCTTAGCGAAGAGTGACAATCAAACTAGCAATTAAATGAATATATCATAACCCCGCAGGATTTCTGGGAAACCAGAAGCTTCATAGTAAGGTTCATCGGTTAGGAGGGGAATTCTATTTTTCATAAGAAGAAGAAAAGTGTCAAGAAGCACAAGAAGAAAAGTTGACTACTCTGCTAACGAATCTCACCCTTTAAGGAACAAGCGGAAACAATTCCATCAATTGGTAAACTTACTTTAGCCATTCCGTCGCGATAATCAACTGCTTGATCGACAGAGTTGTTCCTAACTATAGTCTCTCCTGGAGATAAGTGACAAATAAGTTTACATGCATAAAATTGATCAGCAAAGTGAAACAATAGCAAACATCTGGGAGGTAAATGCGCCTTAAATATAGAGGTTCTCAAGCTATACATAAAATAAAAAGGGTAAGTTTCGAGAGAAATTATAAAACTATGAGAAAATTTGGTTTTAACAACTGAGTTGATAATGTAAATTGGCAAATCGTAAAGATATTCGGAAGCTGACTTTAGCCCTTCGTCAGGGCCTAAAAGAAACTGAGGTACTCGGGTCGCGAGAGCCTGTAGAAAGGCAGGCTTAAATTGATGGGAAACAAACTTGGTCTACAATGTTTAGAAAAATTCCCAGAAAAGTGAGTTGCTGTACCTCTTGTTACATTGCTATTTGTTGTCAATGCATCTCTGAGTTCCACTGCATTAATCCCCAACAATGAAGAAACTGAAACAAGATAAATTGTTGCTTTCAATCAATTTCGAAAAGAGTTAGTATTACCATTGATATCGAGTTTCATCTTAAGTCTAACGGAATGGCACTTGATTGACAACGCTCCATGATGGGAGCAAAAGCGTTACCATAGTTACAAGTTATCAGAGGCTAGAAGTCAAAACCTCAACAAATCAAGACTCGATCACGTGGCTTTTCCCGTTTCTTGATGTCAATCACGTGTATCTCTTTTTAAATCTAACTGGTTGTCAGCACGTTGTTTTAGAGTCGTTATCAAAGGCAAAGGACGGGTCCAGAAATTTTTGATGGGGGGTGGAGGTTCAAACTTTGATTCAATTTTTACTACAGAGCCTAAATAAGCGAGGAAATATTGCACAACGAGCAAGTATTAAATACTTCATGTTGTCCACCAACATGTGACCACGTTGGAAGATTTTTTGATTCAGTTATCTTGTTGGAAAAAAACAAAACAAAACAAAAAAACACAGATCTGATGGTAAACCTGATTAACTGTTATCATGGCTTTCCACTGGGTTTCGTTTCGACGGAACTCCAACGAAAAAAAAAAAACCTCATTGGACTGGACCTTTCACACAAGGACGATAGTGCTCAGTGAAAGTAGAGGCTAGCCTCACCAGGACGTTCAGAATACACGATCGAATTTAAACATACAGGAATTTTTTTTTACTAGTATCTTAACGCAATTATTATTTTTATTCATACACACCTATGAGTAGAACTTGAGGATTGCTAACCATACTCTTGTCGCTCAGATGCGAAACTGACTCGTCTTCCGTGAAGTGAATGTCTCCGAGATGAATGATGGCAGCCAGTATTGAAAACAACTGTGACACTTCCTTTAAAAAAGGTTGACAGTTGGGCATAATTTTTACAGTTAGACATGAGTGTTATATGGAAGAACTGGACACCTGAAATGATTGTACTGCACAGAAGTACAGTCCTCTGAGTTTCAAAGTCTCAACACACATTAAAGAAAACTTATCGATCTGAAGGAAGGCCTTCATTTAAGTTCACTTTACTTCATGGGCAAGTTTTATTCACCTCATGACTGAAGCCAATGATGTCAAAGCATCTTTGAACCTCTTCAAACTTCCGTCTGTTTCCAAGAGTGCATACCAAGTCTTGAAGGTTTCGCCCTCCTGTTTGGAGGTAGCTGAAAGAGACGAAAGACAAAGTGCTTGTCAGTTTTTTTCAATTGCGTGTCAAAAGTCATCCGGAATTCCATTATTTTGTTTAGAGCCAATTTCGCTGTAGTGTCGTAAAACCAAACTCAAAGTAATCACAGCGACCACTTGGACGAAAGGAAAGTGTCAATAAGAACTCAAGTGAAAAACGCACAACCTGCCTCAAGCGCGGGAAAACGCTGGTGACCAAGTCGCGATTGGTTTTAGTTTTGAAACTGATGGGTAGAGAAAATGGCGTGAGTTTTCTGAACCAATCACGAGACGAGGTAAAGCAAAACAAAAGTAATTCGGAATTAGACCCTCTGTTGAAACCGTTTTGTGATTGGTCACGAAAACACGCGCCACCCTTTAAACCAATCAGATGTTGGTCACTCGCGTTTTCCCGCGCTTTGGGCAGTGTGCTTGTTTTACTTTGAGTTTTTACTACCTATTTTTACATGGCATCTTGATTTTACGACATTAAATAGATACACGTAAGGAAAGAAATACGTCTGTTCATGAGGAGGAGTGTTTCACAGATGGAGTCCGTAATTCATAGACTTCAACACAACACTTCTTTAAAATCAATTTGAAAACTTACTTGTGCTGCGAATAAAGCTTAAAGGAATATTTCTCCAGTTTCTTGTTATATGCCAGACCAGCGATCATGTAATAAAATATGTGAAAGTTCCTTTCTCCTCTAAAAAAAAGGGAATAAAATCGAGAAAAAGTCATCTATGACAAGTTCAGTTTAACGCTGATAATGTTATACCAGTGTCAAAAACCTGCGAAGGTGAGTTCTATTTAACAATGAATTGCATCTCAGTGAATGAAAAAATTACCAAAAAGACCAAAAATAACAAGAACTGAAACTTAATGTTCCTTGATTGCCACCCACCTTGATTGTGAAACAACTCTGGATTTTTCCAACAGGTACTCTGATAGCATTCCTTGAAATACAAGTTCAATAACTTTTGAGAGATAGACTAAAGACTATGCCTGAAAACTGACTGACAAATTGACAAACTGAGATTCTAAGACTAATTGACTGACTAACTGACTGACTGAGATTATGACAGACTGACTGACTGACTAAATATTTAAGTCTTAGCTCATACTCTAAATAGTGACTGTTCTTTCTCCATAGTGGACTGACTGAATGATTGACTTAGAGAGAGGCAATCTAACAAAATGGCACATTGAAGCCATCCCTGCCAGTAATATAAACGATAAATTGATTGCCAAAAGTAACCACTTGGCAGAATTACATTAATTTTGCTTTGCTTCACTTTGTGACTGGTTAAGAACACTGGCCCCATCCCACAACCAATCACAACATGTTCCCTCTCAGTTTGTCGCACATAGGAAATTACTTGTTTTCCTTTGAGTTCTCATTGGTTCTTAAAGGTATTCTCTATGGTTGCAATTGGCTGTTGTGATTATTTTGGACAAGGTACATGTCTAATGACACACAATCAAAGTGATAATTGTAATTTTTGATTGCCAATCTACCTCCTCTCAGGGCTCCATTAGGTGTGAAATGGAGTTCTAAGTATTTCCCAAATCTGCTGGAGTTTTCATTGATCACTGTCTGTGCATTTCCCAAAGCTTCCATGAGGGGATTGACCTGCAAAAATTTGCAACTTCTGGTTAGGCAAAAAACATACAGTTTCCTTCAATCCTTTCATTCCCATGAGAGACCATGCCAGAAATTCTCATAACAATATCAAGACAATATCAAGCAGACAAGTGATGAGAAAAACGAAAAAATATCAATTAGAGGATTTTTAGTTCATCCAATAGCATATTCTCTCCACAAACATAAGAACTGATAAGTAGAAAAACAAATGAGATTGTGGGATGGAAAGGGTTAAGTTGTGTACATGTAGGAACATTAGTAGTAGGGCGATTAACCTTTCAACTGCATTAAGGGATACACATGTAAATTCTCCTTAAAATGTCAATATATCATACAGCAAACAAGTGATGTGAATAAGGAAGCTGATCAATTGGAGGATATAGGATTTCTTCCAATGGTATAAAATAACATGTATTTCTCACCTGAAGGATCTTCTCTTCAAGTGTTCTGTTTCCAGCCTAACAAAAAAAATTGTTTGTCATACTAATCGTGAATAATAAATAAAAATCCAGAATCATTTCTTTTGAAACCAAGCACTTTCGTACAGTTTTGATGAGAATAAGGGTAAACAATGGTACTTGTTACTATCATACTGTAGCAACAGTGAGTACCAACCTTTCCAAGTTCAGCTAAATGTCGCACAAGGTAGTCGGCTGACACTGTTTTGCCTGCTCCACTCTCCCCGCTAATCAAGCAACACTGCCAGGTGATTAAGAATAAAATGGAAATTTGAATAATGATCAGGATGCCAGTACTTGTGTAGCATTGAAATGGGCCATTTCCAAATTACCTTTAGCCTCTTTTTCAAAATGAGGCCTAGTGCTCAACCATTCATTTGAAAATGAGTTTAATTAACATTTGAATGAAAACTTATAATCAAGTGAAAGGATGAGCACTAACACTTGCTTTAAAATGAGGCCAAAGGTAATTTGGTATCAAAATTTTAATATAATTCTATTAGGAGTGAAATGTTATTATCTGGAACATCATGGAGATAACCTGAAATAGATTGAGACACCACAGGAAAGCTGAAGTAAGATGGCAGGTGCTCATCCAGGAGTAAACTTAAACTTGGTTTTGATATGACCTAACCAAAAGTGTATAATAATGTACATGAAAAAATCATGCACATCTGATTGGCTGAAAAGAAGTGCATTTTTCATGTAACATGAGTGCAAAGTTGGAACACAAGAGCAAATTACAAATAGCACATGTATGCAGCCAAAATTTCAACTTGACTTTGTGTGATGCATTTGGCATGTAAATTATTAAGTACCAACATGCTTTCTTGTGCAATTTGGTGTAAAATTGCACTTGTAAATTTTTGAAAGACTACAAATTACACTCACCCCACGGGTTAGGGTTAGAGTTTGAAGCAAGTGCAATTTTGTCATCTTTGAAAAATTTACTTAATACGCTGATAATAAGCTTAGAGTGTATTTCAAACCTGAGGGTTCTTATTGTGTATCATAGCCTGGTGTGTCATATCAGCTACCATGAAAATATGAGGCGGCAAAGCACTCTTCTGGGAGTTTTTATACTTTTTTGCAATCTGGAAAAAGAACAAAATCTATATCAGTTTCAGTTGGTAAATATTTTGTGCACCAAAGGAGGCAGTGAATGGTCAAATCCAATGCTCGTCCTTCAGTGGAGACCCCAGTTTCAAAATCCTTCAGCAAGACTTAACATTTTCAGTTAAATATCATTACTGTTGACAGTAGCTGAACAAACTAATTGCACAATAAATAAGACTTTGACACTCACATATACAATAGAAGCTGACAAGATTTCAAGATCAGAAAAAAAAAAAAGTTTACAAAACCCACATATTTTTCAAGGTACCATTTGAAGGCTCTTTGTAAATCATGTGTTGTGCTTTTTATGCAAGCATGGCCAAGTTGTTTTCCAAAATGGCCACATCCATTGAAAACCATTTTCAAATGCTTGGATTATACTCTTTGGAGTCTCAAACCATGATAGTATATTTTTGAATGGTAGAGTTGAAAATAATATGGTTCCTTGAATATAGTTCTCCAAATATTAGAAGAGAAGACTGATACGAAATAATTAGCAGGAAGTTGAAAAACTGTAATGAAAAATTTCTGCACACTTACTTCTGGTTCGTACAGGTTGAGAGTCTGCAGCGGATTAACAGCTATAAGTATGTCACCAATGTACGTGTATATCTGATTATTTAGATATCTTTCCAGAAGATGGCTGAGAATAATGTCCTGTCCACAAAAGAAATGATACAATATCAAAAAATACAATCATGATACTCAAGTTTAAATTCTTGTCATCCCAAGTAGCACACAAGGCCTCAACATTGGGTTTTCTTCAAGAACAGGGTTCCAATCTGCAGTCACCATTTTCAATTGGTCATGACTGCAAGCTAAAAAAAAGTTTGACAGCTAACATTGCTCTAAAATTGCAGAGGTGGCAACTTATGATTTCATGTGTTTTCTAACTAAAAACCACACAGATAAACTGGCACTCTATTAACCACTGCCATGTTTAAAAAGGTATTTTAACCTTATTTTTACATAAAATTTATTACAGATTAAATATCATTGTATAAACAACTATCAAGGTACACTGTACTACTGAAGAAATTTGTAAAGCAACCATTCATAATTTTCAAGTATCAAGATTTGATGTGTGAATCAATTGAACCTCCAGATTTACTCTTAAGTCTCTAAAGTCTTTGTGTGCCTGAGACATAGTTCACAGTCATGTACATGTATGTATTCTGACACAAGAACACGGCATTGGCATAACCTGACTGACTACAAGTCCCACCAGTCTCCCACTTTCACACTTACTGTTGACAGCTTTGATCTAAAATATTGATCAAAGAAAGGCAATGATGACTGTTGTTTAACCCTTTTACTTCCATGAGTGATCAAGACAGAATTTCCCCTTACAATACTAATACAGTATCAAGCAGACAAGTGATGAGAATAAATAAAATATCAACTAGGGGATTATCAGTTGATCCAATGGCAAGTTCTCCAAACTCAAATTATACGAATTGCATTGCAGACAATAAGGAGAATTGGTAGTAAGATCTTGGGACACACAAGACCTACCTCAGTCAGACTTCCTAACTCTGCTAGGTTATCAACCTGCTGCATCTGTTTGCTGCGTTGAGGCTTTTGCTTTTGCGCAGCTGAGGGACTGGTAAAAACATAAAAAAGTCTGTTAACTTTATCGTTTATTTTCAGTTTATTACTTTTACCCCTAAGAGTGACTGGCTTCTAATTTCTCCTTACAGTATCACCCTTGCATCAAATGTAAAGGTCATGAGAATAAAGGAAATGACCTCCAATGTGGGATGCTCCTGATTGTCAAACAAATTCTCCTTGTCAGTACCAGAGGAAATGTAAAGAGAAAAGTGTAGAGAATATGAAAACCAACATTATGGTATCAAGATTTTAAAATATAAGAACAGAAAGACACATACATAGTTTACACTGACCATTAAAAAATAAAATTTAAACACATCTTTGGTAGTACACATTTTTTTGGGTCAACCTCTGACAAAAGTGGACTCATAAAATTCAAGCTATTTCAATCTATATACTTCATTTTGGCTAATAGAAAATGAATTCCAGGTTGGCATGATTTTCAAATAATTAGGTTGTCCTCTGTTCCAGGAATATCACTAGAATCCTTAGACAAAGAAAATACAAATTAAACAAATCCAAACTGGTTTGAAATCATTCTGACCTTAAATTCTTAAACAACAAAAATTCATTTCACCCCATTCTTGCACAATAACATCAAATCAAAAGCTGATTATTGAAAATCATTTTTGAGACAGATAAAATTTTGCATTCTTAGGATACATTTCATGAAACAAAATGGAGCCCTATCCTATTAATAATTAACAGTATGAGGTTCATTACTCCTTTGTATTAAATCTTTTAGTTATACCTTGGCAGCTCATCATGATCTCTCTCTTTCGTGGCTTCAACCATAATCCCATCTTGACCTTGGTACTGCCCATCCATCAAACTCATCAACTTTCTGCGTAGCTGCAACATTTTTGCACCAAAGATTAAGCGCAAAAATTTTATCCTTGTCCTCTGTATTTCCTCATACTCACTGTGTTTCAATATCCTTTTTTATATCATCAAACTTAAGAACTAAAATCATGTTTAAATTATGATTCAAATTATTAGTCTGGCTCATAATTAGTGATTGATCTGACTTGAGCTTTTGAAAATTTCCTAAGAATGGTGTTTTTTCACATATCTGATATGTGCATTCTTAATCATCCTCACAGTTATTCTGATTTGAAAATCTTGAAAAAATTTAGTTCAACCAGGTAGCTGCTATCTGTTTTAGGGTTAAAAAAAGAATTTTGTCATTAAATATTTATGAGAAAAACTGGAATGTTATCAAACAAATCAAGTTTTACATCCTGCAAGTTTCATGCAGAGAAAAAATAAATTCAACAAAGAAAATATTGTGAAATTGTTGCTATTCAGGGTCTATTTGTCAATAATTACTGTACAGTTAGGAATGCTCTCAGATTTGCTAGGGATTAACAAACATGTCTCTGTTTCAAAATTTGTCTTGAAGTATAGGGCCAATATCAAATATATGTATGGTATAGTCACTGAATATACAAGCAACAGATTACTTGAATGAATTCTACAGAATACTCCGTTTTTCAGTTTGTTTTGACTGTTTTTCATTTGTTAAACCCCTTTTAATGAAACATGTTTAGCTGGTATGATTGAATAGGTATTAGTTGGTATAATTTTCTAACAATAAGTATTGTATATATTAACTTACAGCATCTCTCTTGTCTGCTACCCATCTGACAAATACATGACTTAACATATCACTGGCATGAGCTCTAGCCTCGAAATCTTTCACCAGGCACCTAAAATAAGGAAATACAGACTAACTGTAACCATGTTACTTATTTATAACACAACAACTGTCCTGCCATGAAAATTATTTACAATAACAGGGCAGTCAGGAAAAAAAATCTTGCCTTACCTTGCAAGAATTACAAATGAAAAATAAACTTAATCCTTTCACCACTTAGAGTAACTTACACTTGACTTCTTCATACAGTATTGCCACTGAATTGAAACATTCAAATGTGAGTTTGTTATGGGTCTTTGCTATGGGTTCTTGGCCAAGATACTTTACTCAGCACACCCTAACACTGATATACCTATTCTCTATAATGCTCTTTGAGAGGGAGGGGGAAGGCTTTGTTTCGTACTCACCTGCATATCAACCAAAACAGCCACATAGCAAAACTGACAAGTTATTTCTGAATTACAGTAATACCAATTAAGATAAATACATGGCTTAGAAGGAAAAAATCTTACTTTGCAATAAAGTCTCTGTATTCATGCGACCACCTCTCTGGATTTTTCATAGACGGTGACTTGCTCCTAAAATAATTCAATCAATTGACTACTCTTCAGTAAGCATTTACTAAATTCAAACCATCAGTTCAGGTAATAGTGTAGGTAAAAGTAACCAAAGTATAATTTTAAATCATTCTGACCTTGATACATCTAGCTCTGAGTCTGATCCAAAAATTTAACACTACACGGATACCAACAACAAGTACACTTGTTTGTTTTAATCCCCATTTGAAGCAACCTTCCTGATATGCTGTCACATACCAATGCCACTTCGTAATTTAAATATATAAATCATTTATTATTTTCCAATGGAATTCTTTTATCAATGTAGCTGTTTCTCACTTTGTAAGAAAAAAATATCTGTATCTACCTTACAATTAACACTTCACTCGAGGAATAGAATGAATGAATAGAAATAAACTCACCTAGGAATTTTAAAAAGTGCTCGCATAGGATGTTGATCAGAGAGTGGCGTGGTTCCATCTGCAAGTTCAATAGCTGTAATTCCAAGAGACCAGATGTCACAGCGGACATCATAACTGTAGTCAAGCTGCTGCTCACAGGCAATGACTTCGGGGGCCATCCAAAATGGAGTACCTACTGATGAGTTGCGCCTCATTAGGATGTTTGATAGCTCAGCTGAAACACCTGAAGGAAATAAAATTTTCATTGATTTTTGACACAGCTAGATCCATTGTTCTCTAAAGTTACAAAAGGAAACAATTGAGTGATAGAAGTCTCTGATTAAATGAGAGACTGGCTGACTCACTCACTCACTGATCAAATTGACTGACTGACTGACTGACTGACTGACTGACTGACTAACTGACTGACTGACTAACTGACTGACTGACTGACTGACTAACTGACTGACTGACTGACTAACTAATTGACTGACTGACTGACTGACTGACTGACTGACTGACTGACTAACTGACTGACTGACTGACTGACTGACTGACTGACTGACTGACTGACTGACTGACTGATGGACTGACTGACTGACTGGATGACTGACTGACTGGATGACTGACTGACTGGATGACTGACTGACTGGATGACTGACTGACTGGATGACTGACTGACTGGATGACTGACTGACTGGATGACTGACTGACTGACTAACTGACTGACTAAATGACTGACTGATTGACTAACTAACTAACTGACCAGCTGACTAACTGACTGACTGACTAACTAATTGAATGACTAACTGACTGGCTGGCTGAATAACTGACTGACTAGCTGACTAACTGACTGGCTGAATGACTGTTTCACTGACTGCAAAACCAATTGCCTGCCTGTCTGTCTGATGATTGACTGACTTCCAAACCAGTTGACTGGCCAACAGATCAACTGACTGTCTAATTGACTGATTAATTGATTGATTGATTGATCAACACCACTAACCAAAGTCAATTAATCTGATTTCAGCTCTGTTTGTTAACATCACATTAGGGCCTTTGATGTCTCTGTGCATCACATTATGCCTATGAAGATGTTCAATTCCCTGGAAAAAGAAAATGTGAATCCATAAATGTAACACCTGATCAGTTTGCAAAGCTCATCAGAGAGGCAAGAAAACAAGGATTTATTTTCACTTAAAACAAGTCACCCTAAAAGAAAACAATAATTGAAAGTTAAAGCACCTAGAAACAGGTTATGTCTTATTTACCATCAACCTCAACTCTCAAGATCTGATTGTAAATTCTTCCTTCTAACTGCTACACATATCCTTATAAATTAGTTACTAGAATTTGGAGATTTTTAAACCTAATAATTCTGAGTATTCTCATTTATGTTTTCTGGATAATGTATATAATGGATATTATAGGGCGAAGTTACCTATTAATCACTTCTGGGAGTTAACGGGCTAATTACCAACAACAGAAATATATTTCTCAAAAAAAACTTCTAATAACCTTTAGAGTTTCATAGAGGATGTAGGCTATCAGGTCTTCTTCAAGATATTTTCCCTTCTTCCTCAAGCTCTTCACAAGGTTTGTCACTGATCCGCCGCGGCACAGCTACAGAGTATTAAATATTAAAGGTGTTATATGGTTATATAGATCAGCCACTGAGCCAAGTGGATTATTTTACCAGAGTCAGCCATCTAGACTGTGATTGTTTTGGTTGATATGCAGGTGAGTATGAAACAAAGCCTCCCCCCTCCCTCTCAAAGAGCAGTATAGAGAATATCTATAATGGTGTTAGGGTGTACTGAGTTAAGTATCTTGGCCATGAATCCATAACAAAGACCCATAACAAACTCACATTTGAATGTTTCAATTCAAAGTTTGGTAACTAAGACCAAACCAGCTACTAGGGTTGAACTAATTTCATTACTTAAAGTACCCAAAGTCTCAATCTCAGGGGATAAGATAAGTGCATGATTTTAAATATAAGGTAAAAATTGTTCTGAGACTCTTTTCTGTCTGTGATGCTGTGATGACATGAAAAAGAATAAAATATATATTTTTTATTATTTTTTAGGCGAATTATTCTTGGCCTTCCCTAGATTTCCCAGTTGAACATATAAAATAACATCATGTCTGATTGCAAAATTTTGATTTCTGTTCCTTTGTAAAATTCCAGACACTTTTAAGTTTCCAAATTTCTTTTGGAATATGAAAATAAGCTGTGTTCATGATGTCTTTGACAGTTTCTCGCAAAATGATAAAATCACGATGTATTTGTTTTCCTTTGGTATGATAATTTATTCACAAACAGGAAAACCTCAAGACATTAACTTGTGTACGTTATAAAAACTCTCTCGACAAAATTTTACGAGATTTTCCACTAACGATAGTAGCTGTCAAAGGAATCAGAGCATTAAGCAAGATCTAAATTGTAATCCGACGGTCGTTTTCTCCTTAATTACGAGCTTGTTCGATACCCTGGCCGCTAATTGAACTATTCAGTCTGGCTACCGGTATGCGTTCTACATAATTATTCATTTATTTTACACTATTTTTGCTAACGAGTCGGATCCATATAAAAGCAAAATTACTGCATTCTTCAGGGAAAAAAATGGGTGAGAAACTGTTAAATTACCTCTAAAATATATCTAATTACTGTACACTAATTTTCAATGCAATATTAAGTACAAACCTCCATCACTAGCCATAATTGATCATGTCGTTTCGTATCGACGTTCATGAAAGCGCCATGAAATTCAGCGATGTTTGAATGAGTAGAATACTTTGACAAGATATCCAGCTCTGGAAGAACTTCTTCAATTTTCTCGTGAATAGAATCTATAACCTTCGCCGCTGCTATTTCGCCCGAAATTTTGTTCCTTGCTGTGAAAACCTCTCCATAAGTACCTTCCCCGATCCTATCAACCAATTCCCAATCCGTCGGCGGACCGAGTTCTTTAAGACTATCGGCGCTCTTTCCCATCATAGCTGCAAATTACAGAATGATAGTACGATAATTCGAACTCGACCGGCTTTGAATCGCAAATAATAATTAAAAAATAGCCATTTCTAATCTCACCATAAAGCTGTTCTTCACGCGCGAATGAAAACCCAACCATAGCTTGCAAATCTGTACTTAAAACCGCGGAAAATAAGCAAAAAGCGACCCAGGAAAGGTATTCTGTTCGTTAATTGAGTTTATCGCCCGGGAAGGGTCCATCTTCGAGATAAATTATCAACAGCCATCTTGCAAATCGTAAAAAATCGCACAGCTGTGAGAGATGAATGTAGTTTCATGCAACGATGAGTTCCCACGGTTCAATACTCTACCAATTACACTCAGCTGCGAATGAACAATAACGCTCTGCAGTTGCCCATGGCATCATTTAAATCACTTCACATCAAATGTCAGGGAAAAATGGACCCGAAAGTGCAGCCTACAGCTCATAAATTCTAAATTCAGACGAGCCGGCAATTACAGACAAACTGTGTTGATATTGAAAATAATGTAATTTCGCGGCGTCCCTAAAAAGTAGAGCCCAGTCTCTTTGAAATTTTGCGCCTTCATAAGGATTAGGGAACACGTTTTGCGTTCACCCGCACAAAAATCTTCAACTATTTCACTTGAATTATCGATAGAACAGTCTTCGAAAGCGATATTTAGGAAACGTAGTTGTTCTATTTTCATTCATATTCAATATCTAAGTTTTCCGGTCTTATTACGTAAAATTTGAAAGGATGGTTACGTACAAAGATGAAAAATTTAACGACATTTTAACGTAGAAAAACTTTGTAGTCTTTCCTATATTCGTAAATTAAATTCATCTGGAGAAGTAGCATTTCATTGTATTAAAAATACGTTAACGGCAGGGTTAGGACAGTTATTTGTATCTTACGGCCCACTGCCGAGAAATAACTTTTTTTTTCTAACGCCGTCATGTCGCGTCAGTATAAGTGATATCAATACAAGAGAACATATACTTATTCTCTTGGCAATATGTCATATTGGTCTTCCAAATTCTCTTCCCGAATCGTTTTCTCTTTTTTTTTTTCTGTACTTATGTTTTAGTGGCATAATATCATGATTTTGGCTAGGAAATAAGAACAACACCGATGGAAAACCAAAATAAACAAAACAAACTGATAAAACACGAATTTGCTGCAACAAAGTCAAAATTTATAATTATTCTTCCACAATATGCCGATATAAAGGACATAGAATCACTCTGAAGCAAGAACTTTTAAATGCTTCATTTTCAGCAAGGAAAAACCAAGCAATATTAGGTAATCCCTACGGCGCTAATTCGTACACTTACAGAAATTTCAAGTAAATCATTTGAAACCGTTCAAAGTTGGTCCAAATCGCACGATTTTAAGAGATTGAAGACAAGAGTAAACCACATGTGCAATAGTCTGTTTTCGACAGACTCAATTAGGCTGTTTCAAGCTTCTCGATTACTGTATATGCCACGTGTATGTCCATAAATAATCTTTGTGTTCATCGACCGAGTGTACATAAAAGTCATTACGTTTTCCCTTTGCCAAAAGTCATGAAAGGAAACCAGTCTAAAAAGCAAACATAAACGATACCGTCCACGTTTACGTCATATGGTGTTCTTAGCTATTTCCTAGTGCCCATCATAAGATTTACATATATCATCAATGACAAAACCATTTTTCCTTGATGAATCTTACTTTAAAACCCGTGTCATCTCTTCTTCTCAGAGAACATCACAAGTATGCAATAATTGCAAATGTCAGGGCTTAAAATCTCTTTAAAGCTCCTCCATTCTGATTCTAGAAGTATTTCAGTCGCTTAAGACGTAAATATACACGCACGGAGACAGCGAAATGCTGGAAAAAGCCACCGGAAAAAATTTCTTTCGCACGCTTTACTCGGGTTTTTAAAAGGTTGTGTCATACGAACGAACTTGATGAAAATGGAACTGGATAATGTTGCCAGTAAAACGATATTGCATCGGCAATATATAAAAATTATTGGCAGAAACAGAACAATTTCAAAAACAAAAATCGTTCCAGCTATTCCGCAGTCGTGGAAGAAGAAAGAAAAATAGGAAAAAAGATAAAAAAAAAGACACCCGTGTGTTTTTTTCGTGTGTGCGTAATTATTTCTTACCTTGTATTAAATACATGGACATTATTTCCCAGCAAGGCTTCGGGGGGTCATTTAACAGTTCCACTGCTCAATAGAATTCTTTTCAAATATTTTGGGTAACTTTGGGATTAAAACAGTTTATCGACAAAATATTTCACCCAGGGAGTCTTTCTTGTATCTGCGCGTGATCACAGTTCAAAAGTAGAGAAGGCGTCCTCTTATCGCTTGATAAAAATATCATATGCATACTATAAAAATTTCATGCGCTACTATGTCCCGATCTTCACAATAAATGCCCGTCAAACTGAGTTAATGCATAGTGGTTCAAGTTTTCCTTGTCGAAAGTATCAATTCAGCCGTTAAGTTAAATAATTAATCAACAGTTAATGGCGTTTTCAACTCTTTGTTGGACGAGAAGCGATCATTTGCATATAAAAAACACCACTAAAAATTTTGAGATTGCCGCTCGATAACTTTTCAATAAAACAATGACTCTTTTAAAACTATATTTTAGAGAGAAGGTTTAAACATAAGTCATTTCAAGGTAAACAAAAGAAACCCATTCGGTTTCAATCGACGAAGTCTCAGCAAAGACATAGAGCGAAACCTCTACGCACCTAACTTAACCCTTTATTCAACCGCAAATGACTGCTCTTTGACAGGTATGTTCAATTCACTTACGTTTCTCAGTAGCCGGTCCAATGTAGCTGAACTTGTCGGCTCCCGAGGAAGCACCTTGTTGTTCTTCCATGCTTTTAGAATCATCTTCCCTGTGCTTACTTTTTCGCTTCGGCATGGCTACTTATTAAGCAGTGTCAGACATCTTGAATGAAAGTAGAATTTGTTGGAAAGTTACAATTTGGAATGACTAAAAACCGCAAGAGTAAAGGAACCTAGCTACAAATCTGTCGACCACTTTATAAGAGTATAACTTGAATTCACTTGGAAACTGCATCACTGTTGTGAGACAACTTCTTTGCGACTAACTAAAGTCCGATTCGACTCGATGATTGAAACATACCCTGTTTAAACTGTTTAGTTTACATCCCTACTGCGCTCGCCTTGAGAGTTGCTAATCACAATTAGCTAATCGTCCAACGAAAACCCGCATCTTTAAAAATATCATTCATAATTTAAGACGTTAAGACTTGAAGATGATTGATATCCATGTATATCGGTTGCCATAGAATTTCAGGTATTACACGAAGTTACAAAGACCAAATTTAAAGGCTCATGCTAACACATATCTCTTTTCATATAGCTGTACATGTTTTTCAGTGTATATGATCGATAAATAAGTATTTGAAAACAAAGCCATTGACTCATCGCTTCGTAACAAGTCAACATCACTTAGAAGTTAGATTGAAAGCTCGCTAATTTTAGCAATGATCTATCATGTTTAAAAACATAACATACATTGATAAAATGGCCGAAGTTTCTTTAATTTACAGCCGACTAAGACAATTTTTGGAAAGCCAAAAATAAATTTTTAATGAAAATAGAACACAGAAAAGAAAAGGAGCTAGAAAATTCTCAGAATTTTGACAGTGAGATTGCGGTGCTATTACATAAGTTTTTCTCTCTCTAATCCTCTACTAACTATGCTCTAAATCAACATAAAAAAAAAGAAGAAAAAAAGAATAATATTCACAACTGTAATATCAAAGTAAGTACCGTTCGAATGATTTTACAAGAATTGATCCCCGTCTGAGGTTGACATCTGTCTGAGGTAGAGGTTTAGTCCTTTAGACGAAAAATATTCAAATATATTAGCGATTAAGTTAAGACTCTTTTTCAACATTTACGACTGCTTTCGAGCAAGTAGGGTAGTAGAGTACGGCAATTTTTTTAGGAAAAGACTGACAGATGACAAAAAAAACACACAAATCTGTGAATTATGTTGCTCAAAAACTTCCTTTTCAGAATAATTCGCGGAAAGTTTTGAATAGCGCGCGGGAATTTTGACGCCATCTCCGCGTGCATTCTTTCCATACCGATGTATGTGACGTCACCCGCGAACTGACATCGAGCTCGAGAGATCTTGAGCAATAATTGTTGCCAAGTTGTGTGGCGTTTCCGGAGTAAATCTTGATACTTCAGCTGTTTAAGCCATGTCACAGCTTCATCAAGAAGCCTTACGAAGACAACATGTCGTTGATAAAAGAAATGTTAACGATTTGTCTTGGTTGGTGAGTACAAACAGTCAATTACGAGCTTCAGTACTTTTTGAGATGAACTACCAAAAGATAATCTCTAGTTCGGAGGTACAAAATACACGACATGTTTCAGGCCAGAGGTAACAGCGATTTTGCGCTTGTTGCTGGTTTTGTTACGTCTTTTTTGCAAATAAATGCAAAGCTGAACCATACCTCTTAGGATTACATTTCTCTCTCAAAATTACAAGCGTTTGTGTAGGACAATACACGGATTACATGAAAAACTTCGATGATTGTTTCATGAGTGCGGTGCAAACTTTGTGCATGTGATTGAAGTCTGATGAATTCAACTAGTAGCGTAGGTTGTTACGTCTTTAAATTCTACAAATTGCCTTTCGCTGCGACTGAAAAAAAACTTAATTACTTTCAAATTACAGGGAAATCTTGTATATTTGCATTCTGATAAGCATGATTAACTGTCACCGCTAGCGTTAAGTTGTAGCATAGTGTTGACAGCACAGACAATTTTAATTGCAAATACTCAGTCCAGGGAGTATCTCTCTACTCAAGGGTTTTCTGTAATTGAGTAAATAAACATTGCTTGCTATCTCTTCTCAACTTTTTCTTACTTTGAAAGTTATTCTACTACAAGCTTTACACAGATAAATTAAAGTGATAAATTTGGTTTTATCAGCTGATAATGTAAATTGGCTACCGTAAAGAGTTTCAAAGCTGAGCTTTCAAGTGTTAGTCCTTCGTCAGAGCGACTGAGTCGAGGTTCTTTACTTGATGATCATTTCCTTTATTCTCATGACCTCAATGTGTGATTCAGAGGTGGTGTTGTAGTGAGAAATTAGATGCTGATCACTTTTAAGAGTCAAAGGGTTAATCACTAGTAGGGTATTGAATGTGTGTGTGAAGTAAATGGAGAATGATAGAGTACAGAATAGCTCCTCTATATCTGAGTTTTTTTTTGTATTTGTTCTATAACCAAGGCTATTAAAATTTAGCCAGATAGTTCTATGAAGTAGACAAAGAATGCTCTGATCTTCAATCTCTTATGAACATGCTGTATCCACTTGTTCCCTTTCAGTTGCCGAAGGACAGAATCAGTCAAAACCTACACAGTCCTTTCAGTTCTGGCATGAGAAGTATTAACAGTCCAAACTCTTTGCACCATGGTTTAGCCATGGGCAGTAGTCCTGGCTCCAGGAGCAAGGAAGTTGTTATCACCGACCCTTACTTAGATGCAATAACCAAAGAAACAAAAGCAAGAACTCAGAATAGATTTTCAGTAAGTCTAGTCAACAAAGTTGTGAAGGCAGTGCTGGGCATCACTTTCATATGCAAAATTCAATTGTCAAGCTTTACATAAAATTTAAGAAGTTTTTGTCAAGCAATTTAGTAAATATGTCTACCATTGTGATAGTTCTGTGGTTGTTTATAGTAATTATGGAAGGATCACATTTCTGCACATACTCAAGTTAAAAGTAACTGAGGTTGAGATACTGTGAATTAACTTTGAGTTTGAGAAATAACATAAGAAAGACATATAAGAATTTTATGCTTTGATAGTCCATTTAGAAAATCTTGTTGCTATTTTATCTCAAGTCAACAGATTACATGATGCAGTGGTGAAGAAAACAGGGCAGACAGTGATACAAAGGATGTTATTAATGGTGTTGTTTTCTGGCATACAACTTCAGACTCCAGTCCAGTTGAAAGAGTTTGCACATTTTGTGTTGTTAAGTTGATTGTCAAAAACCTTAACCCTACGAGACTGCTTGTTACTTTTGTGTGATTTGAAAAGAGCATTCAGGAAATTGCATTGCAAATATAACAGAATTTCGTGGAGAATCATAACACAAAGATTTAATTTTTGTAACATGTATGTCATGTTACATTAGCTTTAAATTTTGTAAATATCCTGAACTGATACTCTCAGTTAATGATTTATTATTTGAAAAAAAAAATTGAGAAAAAGTGAGTGTGTTATTATATACTTTATTTTGAATTTATTTTTGTTTCTCTGAGAAAAAATAAAGGAATTTTTCCCTTCAGAATGTGTTTCCTGATGTGCTTAGCCATTCAAAATAGCTTATCACTAATAGCTCTATTACACTGTGGCAAAAACTTGCATGTAAATGTAATATATGGCAAAAAATAACTGAGTCACATTGTTATTAATTTTATTCATAGTTATTTATTTAATTATTGAGACATTTTTTCAGCAACATACTTCAATTAATTTTCTCATTTTGAAGAAAAGGATAAGAGTTGAATAACAATAATTTTTTTAATTGCATTCATGAGACACATCAGCTTTCTTTGGTATTAAACTGGATGAAGTGAAGTGTGCAGAAAGTCTTACTTTAACAGTCTATAACAGAGATGTCAACAACTTTGAAAGTTTTTAAAATGTCTTAAGTTTCAGATCACAGAATGCCAGCTAGAACAAAAGAAATGAGATAAAATGGTTGAAAATTACTGAACAAATTTACCATAATTTTGAACTCGCATATGCAAAGCAGTCTTGCATAAAACAATAGGAAAGAAAAATATAGTTGCCACCAAACATGAACATTTTTTTGTTTATAACGAGTTGACACCCAGAAACTAACCCTACGATATAATTCATTTCTCTGGTTAGATTCAATTTTAAAAGCTCTACTGCTTCCTTGGTTGTTGAATGTGCATTGCTGCAGTCTTTCCTGCGCCACCTGCTGGCCGTTTTTCATGTTGTGGCATGGGCTTCTCATGAGCCACCTTAATAGCATCTGCCTTAAAATCTGCATTCCCCTTTGTCAATACCCCTGAAACAATAACTTTCTGATCAGAGGCCCTGAAATAAAATTCGACAATTGTTAATTCTTTTCATCAACAAGTGAGTACTATATAACTTTCAAGCAATATCACAAAATAGGGAAAAGTAGACAAGAATTCTGTACACTTTTCTAAATCAAAGTAGTCAGTCTGGCTATGAAAATCGAAACATATCAAACACATAGCCTCAGCTGAACAAATTTTAGCTGCTTGAAGAAACATGTCTGCTAAATGCTCCAAAACTCAAAACTACTCTTTAAGTTCTTAGCGAGATATTTGCCGTAAACTTTAAAATATTTATCATCATGGCTTTAATTAACTGTAACGCAACACAACAACAATTTGGCAAAATAGTCACGCAACAAACGTGAAACACGGCACGTGGGGAAGGGACAGAGAGCGCTCGAGTTAAAATTCGCAAGAATTATTTCACAACCTTTAAAAATCCTTTTCTCGGAACAATGAAATGAATTATGTATAGTTGAAACGTTAAAATTGTTGGTGAAAGTTGTACGGTGTACGCAAAACTTCGGAAATTATTCGTTACACGTATCTGTACATGAGAGGACGAAACTTGTACACACATATGGGGACTCACTTTTCTTTAGGCTCTGCAAATTCTTCCTCCTCGGCTTTCTCCTCAGGTGTTGGTGCTGGATGCTGAGATTGATGATGCTTTGAAGTTATTCTCATTCCTCCTGCTTTAACTACAAAGATTTTAATAACAAAATATATAATAATTAGCGAATTTTAGCGACCGTCTCTTTTCATGTACGCGACCCAATAACAAATTTGTTTTCAGAAGAAAGTTTTCAACAGACCTGCTGGCGGATGACCAGCTTTTAATTCTTTATCTTTATCTTTCGGAGGTGACGACATAGTGAATAACGACAAATTTGAACTCCTCGTTTATAATTTAGTTTGCGTGAAATGTCCGTGCATTAGCGAACCCAAATAAAATTACGCGAAGAACTCACCAGCTGAGCTTAATCACGAGGGAGTTTATGCGATTTGTGATTGGTCCTTTCATGTTGCACATGTGACGACAAATAATAATTCTAAATAGAAGTCAACAGAGATCTTACCCTAGAGAATTCTAATCTTTGCGTAAAACAGATCACTTTTAATTTCAGAATAAAAAAAATTCAGCGTAATTCGTTTACAATAAGCCGTATCAGGCCCTAAATTCGAAGAAAAAAAAATTATTAAACTGTGCCTCCCCTCCCATAAGGAAAAGTTTACTAGTTCCAGTAGTTACGAATAACCTAAACAAGTAACGCCTTGTCGAAATGCAACGTTGTCTGTGTATTTCCCCGCTACGCGTTGTTTTTGTCTTCTTTTTTCTTTTAACTTAGTGACTCAAAATGCGGTTAATTAGCCACTTGACCCAATTGTTTATTTTTTTAAACGTAATATCTTTTATTGATTTTTCTGTGAGCTCGAAATCGAAAAAGAGTTCAACTTCGTCGTCGTCGTCGCGGGATTTCTTGGAAAAGGAAGGTAAACAATGGTCGAAAGTGTCCTGCAAAAACATCAAAAAAGATCACATCATGAAACTTAGAGCCAAGAAATCAACTGACCAGCTAATGTCTTGCCTTATAAAGGCTTTGAAAGAGTCAAATGATGCCTTTTTATGGAGTGTTCTTGGGGAGTCATATCAGAAATTACAAGCTAACACTAAAGCAGCGAACACATGCTTCAAGGAAGCTTTAAAGCGAGGGGGAAAATTGTCAAAATTTATACCGAAGTGGCACTTCATTGGACCATTTGTTATTGGCAAGGGAGAGGTCGATGGAGATCCTGTGGAGGAGTGGGGTGGGATCAAGAATATCTCGCAGTACAGATGGGATAAAAAATTTTTTCTGTATTCGGAGCTGGTGCCTGGAGGAGAGATAAAGTGGATGGAAGTCAATCAAAAAGCAGGTGCCGAACCGGTAGCTGTCGCACCACCTGTAAACTGGAATGATTTAGTGATGTCCTTACAATCAATGGGAATAACTGAATGGCAGGGATGGGTCCTAGGAGATTTTTTTGTCAATGAAGATGATGCCACAGTACTGGTGCAATGCCTTGGAGTGCATACTGTATATATTGATGATTCTGTCTTGACAGGAGATGTGTACAGAAGAGATCAGTTTTGGTGAGATAGCTGGTATTTTATTATTATGTTATTGTGAACCCTAAATTCTCCTTACAGCATCACTGTTGTTGGGTCATGAGAAATAAGGAAATGATCACTAACTAAAATAGCAACTGGTTATTAACCCTTTACACTTAACTTCAGTATGCATATTCTCCTTACTGTTCTCTAAACATTTCCTAAGGTGCTGACAAGGAGAATTTGTTTAACAATCAAGAACTTCTTTAGTTGGTGATCATTTCCTTTATTCTTGTGACCATAATGTTTTCTTCAAGTTGATAATGTAAGGAGAAATTAGATACTTGTCACTCCTAGGGGTTAAAACTGTATATGAAATGAATGGAGAACAGTTTTGAGAATGTGCTTACAGATGTTGAGGTTAAATGGTTTAATCTGCTCTTAATCATTTAAAAAAGACTTAAGAATGATTTTAAGCATAAACAAACTCTGTTTCACCATCATCACTATTGTAAGCAGACACTGTTTTGCCATCATAACCATCATAACCATCATTAGCAAAGTATTAAGATCTCAAGTTAACCCTTTAACTCCCATGAGTGATGAAGACAGAATTTCTCCTTACAATATCAACAAGCAGACAAGTGGTGAGAATAAAGAAATATATCAATTTGGGGATAATTAGTAGATCCAATACTAAATTCTCTGAACTAACATCAAAACAAATTGTATGGTTGACAGTAAAGAGAATTACAAATTTGATCTGGGAGTTAGAGTTGAATGTCCTTTATAAATATGGTATTACCATTTTTCAACATACAAATTCTTCCTTTTTCATTGTTTTGCCAAAGAAATAATTTTTATAGTTAGACAAGACAAAGTGGAAGTCATTTTAGAGCTCTGTAGAAGTTTCAGTGCCACATGGTAATGTCAGTTTTAATTTTACTTACCACATTTTACTCTGAGTGTGTGCTTTCCTCTAGTTTTAACCCTTTAACTCCCATGAGCGACCAAGGCAGAATTTCTCCTTACAATATCAATACAATATCAAGCAGACAAGTGATGAGAATAAAGAAAAATATTAATTAGGAGATTATTAGTTGATCCAATACCAAATTCTCCAAACCAACATCACAAGAACTATATGGCAGATAGTAAGGTGAATTACTAGTGAGATCTTGGGAGGTAAAGGGTTAACTCAAAGTTAGTCTGAGAAGTGGGTTTAATTTTGAATTAATGTGGCTGAGATCTGACACTCTTCCATCCTTCTGTAGGTCATCTATTAAACTATCTCGTGGAATACATACCATAAAGCTTCGTCTCAGGACCAAGGGATCCATTGCATTCACATATACTATTAAACTTTTAGAGACAAAACAAACATTCCAAGTTTTATCTCCTTCGTTTTTACCTGATCTTGTTGATGGAAAGCTCTTCTCAACATTTATCTCAATTCCCATTAACAATTTACATAGCTCTAATTGGCTAAAAGTGACCAAAGTTTCTACAGTGAAAGAATCTTCTTCGAATCCCCAGTTTTCTGTGAGGCTGACAGCGGAGGACAAAGCTTTTGCTATAGCTCCCGGGCAAGTGCGACCAATTAAAGTCATTCTAGAATACAAAAATGGAAAGCAATATAACTTGGATGACGACACTTGTTCTGATGTGAAACTTTTATTAAAAATTAGCACCAATAAAGGACAAGATCAGAAGATTACAATAAATCTTAGATGCCGCAGAATAAGCCAATCATTTTTGTTTACATTTCTTGACCATGATGCTTCAGTTCAGCATGGTGCAGCCATTGTTCCCTTGGTGTCTTGCCCTTCAGGAGTCTGTCCTGCACTGCTGACTCTGCATGGTACAAGTAGGTGCAAAAAGAGAGTGTTTAAATGTTTAAATGCAAGATCTATTTTATGCAGTCAAATGCAATTTGCCCTTCGTTTGGTGCATTCTTGCATGTGCTTTGAGCATGAACTTGCAGTGTTGTGAGGAGTGGGAGCTCTTCATCCAGGCAGTTTTCCCCAATCCTTCTCTCCCTCTTTCCACTGTTTATTCACTGTGACAGGTGCCTGTTTCCCTTTCCTGTGTGGGGGTTCATGACTAGGTTGCCAGGATTTGCCAGCCGTGGAAGAAATCTCCATCTAGAAGCTGGCTGCCAATAGTGGAAGCTCTTGGATGTTTCAGGCACTCAGCCTCCACTTAGCGATGCAGTTATACAGAATTACTTGGTCAAGTGTCTAATATTCTGGACTCAAGATCAAGAGGTCTAAGTAAATACTCTGACTATGATAATTTTAGGGTTGGATCTAGGGATTTTTGAAAGGTTGGGGATTTTTCTTCACATTATGGCTCAAATCAGCCAAGAAATATAGCAAGTTGAAGTAGTTATTCACCTTCCTCTTGCAGCTGTGCCTCCACAAAATCAGGCTGACAGCTACAAACGCATGGAGAAGGGGAAGTGGGTGTTTGGTGTTGACCATCTGTGGCTTGTGGCACCCACCAGACATGGGGCTCATAACTGGGAGGGGCCTGGAGAGCTTACAGCCATGATGGCCCTTAGAAGCTTAGCCAAGCTCACAAAAGATGCTCCATGGATTGGACCTCAAGCTGATGCAAACCAAGTTGTGTTTGCAGGGCATTCCATGGGTGGACATGGAGCATGGTAGGACGTTTAACAATTGTGAAATACTTGTGGAGATAAGGGATAAATTTTAGATCCTATCAAGGGGTTGTGGGAGGTGCAATGGCTGTTGTGTTACCATGCTGGACTGTAAAAGTGAAAGGGTTAGTTTTGAACTTTCAGTGGCTAGGGTCATTGCATGGTACTCTTTAGTTTTTTTGTCCCTAGCGTCTCCTGCACCCTGGGGTACAACCAGAATCAGAAATTTTTCTCAGGTGAATTTGACTAACTACTGGGTTTACCTGTTATAGACAAGCAGATCAATATGGAACTAGTAACAAAGTACTCCAAGAAGCTGTGGTGAAGTCCTCAGTTTCTGCTCCCCAACACAATCTGATTAGTTTCCAACTTCCCATCCACCACATGCAAACAAACCACACTTAAAGGTTTACATTTCCGTATGATTTTATATTCCCTTCACTGGATTTAACAAGGTTTTTCTCTAAAAACTGACAAGCACATGCTCTTCAAAAATTACAATAAACCCATTCATGTAAAATTGTATGAAACCTACTCCTATTGTTTGGACATCATCTTCCACTGCCAATCTCTGTCACTCTGGGCTTACATTCTACATTCGCTTCTGGTCAGTGATTAGTAATCAAATGATCAAGACAAACATAAACAACAAGAATAGCAACAATTTGACAAAGCTTTGTGTTATTGGAACAAGGAGCAGTCACAGACTACCCCTAGCTGCTCTATGTTACAGGAATAGTTGGATAAACTGCAAGCTGTGGCTATGAGCTATGAACTTCAACAAGGCCACTGAGTTCCCTCTTCTCCACTTTTTTTTTCCATCAGGCAGCTTGGTACCCACTATCCAGACAATGCCCTGGCCTTAGTTTCAGCAGCTGGTTGGATCAAGAAAGAAGATTATGGAGACTCCAACTTGTTCTTCCGTCATGACATCAGTACAAGTCACACCTCTCCTTCAGTGAAGAGTATACTAGAGGCTTGTACTGCAGAAAATGATGCTGATAAGCATGTAACAAATTTACATGTAAGTTTCCAGTTTTCAGCGTCTCTCATTTGGGTCTAATGGTATGGCTCTCTAGCCTTAAATCAATTAAATGATCTCAAACAAAAAATTTATACCACAAAATTACCAATGAGAACCATATTGTAAAGCATATTAAATGGTACCACATGAAAGAACTGCCCACTAGCCTAATTGTTTGTCAATGAGTGGTCACATTTTTGGGTTTCATCCATAGACATAAATTTTAGAACCATCTTCTACAGTATAAATAAACAGTACAACTTGGGAGTACTTTGTATAAGTAACTTATAATTGAATTGTTACATGCACCCAAGGATTTTATCCACAGTTTCAAAGTTAGATCCACCTTGTGCAGCATAATAAACAGTACCACATCAAAAGAATGTTAAGTAGCTTCATTTGAATGGTCACACACTAGAGTTTTTAATTCACAGACTTAACTGTTTATGCCCTAACATCAACTTATTCGTCAGCATATTCCCCAGACTGTTCTCCAAACATTTTCTAAGGTGCTGAAAGGGAGAATTTGTTTCACAACCAAGAACCATTTATATTGGTGATTGATCATTTCCTTTATTCTCATGACCTTAATCTGTGATTCAGGGGTGATATTGTACAGAGAAATTAGATGCAAGCCACTTCACTGAGACAGTATAGTGAAGAGTGCTTCATAGAACTACTACTACTGAGTCACTTCAACTTGTAGTTTTTTGGCAAGTACTGTATGATTCAGGAGTAAAGGAAGATAACATCCCAATTTGATTTCCAGGGAGTGCCAGTTATGATAAGGATTGGAGCAGCTGATAGGACAGTGCATCCTTATTTCACACGTCGCATGTTCCGTCTTTTGCGGGAACAGAGGACCAATGTCACTTACTCTGAGATAGCAGACAAAGAACACTGGTGGTGGGATACATACAAGACAAATGATGGAGGCGTCGTGAATGATCCAGTCATAAGAAAATTTGCTGTTGACCATGCAAAGAATGCTGCTGTCATCTCTCCTGTTGCAAGTTAGAAATTTCAATTTGAGGTTTTTTTTTTCTTTTGACAATATCAAAGTATTTCACTATAAAAAATTGCGATAAAACATTTCTTAAAATCATTTCAAGATTAAAAAAAAATTGCTAAAAAGCGACGACGTTTCGACGTTAGCTGAACGTCATTATCAAGTCAAAATAAGTTGGTGATTTTTGGTCTATAAATACTAAAAAAAAAACAACAACAATACAATGAGAAAATATCAAACAAATCTGCATCGCACAGATCACGTCTGAATATTTAAACAACACACTTGATTAACAATTGACGGCTTGCAATCAAATTTGCTCTGACTTTCTTGCCCCAATTTCTTGCTCACGAAAACTGGTTGCAAAGTAGGGCCAATATGGCTAAGATCGCGTAACCGCTTACGAACCGCATTAGCGGCCACTTGATCTTTAAAAGGAAGACTAATTCTTACTGTGCTACTATCATCATTGTTTCTTTCTGCTTTGTTCGCTGAGGAATTTAGAAAAAGAAACTTTTTGAGAGCAGAATCAATAACACTCATTGGATAGTCAAGGCGACTAAATATAGAGCGCAACTTGGCACATTCTGCATTGAAAGTCTCTGTTGTAGACGTGCCTATTCCTTGTCGTCTACAACAGAGGCTTTCAATGCAGAATGTGCCAAGTTGCGCTCTATATTTAGTCGCCTTGTTTACAATTTTTCATGTGATCTGTGCGATGCAGATTATGTCGGGTATACAGCCCGACACCTTCATCAACGCATTGCTGAGCACAAAAATTCGGCAATCGGTAGACATTTCTTAGAAGCTCATGGTAACAACAACCTTTTGAGAGAAAGCAAATTCATGGTTTTAAGAAAGTGCCAGAGCAAATTTGATTGCTTAGTATTTGAAATGCTCTTCATCAAGAAACTTAAGCCCAATTTAAATATTCAGACGGACTCCATACGTGCGAAACTCTTTGTTTGATATTTTCTCACGTTACAATTTTTTAATCAGCTATTGTTGTTGTTTTTTTTAGTATTTAGAGACCAAAAATCACTAACTTATTTTGACTTGATACACCGACACCTTCATCAACGCATTGCTGAGCACAAAAATTCGGCAATCGGTAGACATTTCTTAGAAGCTCATGGTAACAACAACCTTTTGAGAGAAAGCCAATTCATGGTTTTAAGAAAGTGCCAGAGCAAATTTGATTGCTTAGTATTTGAAATGCTCTTCATCAAGAAACTTAAGCCCAATTTAAATATTCAGACGGACTCCATACGTGCGAAACTCTTTGTTTGATATTTTCTCACGTTACAATTTTTTAATCAGCTATTGTTGTTGTTTTTTTTTTTAGTATTTATAGACCAAAAATCACTAACTTATTTTGACTTGATAATGACGTTCAGCTAACGTCGAAACGTCGTCGCTTTTTAGCAATTTTTTTTTAATCTTGAAATGATTTTAAGAAATGTTTTATCGCAATTTTTTATAGTGAAATGCTTTTCAAAATCACTTCTTGTTCGTAATATCAAAGTAATAATATTAATCAAAGCTAAATAAATGGAAAATGTTTTGAACCAGTTTTTTGTCGAGTGATTGTTTGCTTTATTTATTTAATAGTATTCAAATTAATTTTTTATTTGATTGGGTTATACTATTGGGCTTGAGGTAGACTTCAAGTTATTTTGATGCACATCAAAAACATAACAATTACTTTATTAAATTGTTCTACTTTTTTCATTGAGGTCACTGTGAGAAAGATGGAGATTGCAGCTCAGCTGATACAACAGAGAAATACAAATCCTTTTCTGCCCAAACAACAGATCGAAACACTGCAGGAAATGGGAAGTTTCAGCTTACTGTGTATAACCCAGTTGCAAACACAGGTTAGAAGCTGAAGTATATCATTTTAGAAGTATTGCTTTCCAAGGCTAAAGATTGAAAGTTCTCAGTCTTTTAATTGTTGATTAGATTCATGGTAAATTCTCATTACCCTCCCTCTCTGATGAGCCGTTTTCTCTAATAAGCTCCTTGTGTAGAGGTTCAAGCTTCTAACAATCCCCTCTTTGATTACCCCACCCCCCTGTTTATAGCTTCAAGTTTCTAATAAGCCCCCTCTCTGATGATCATCTTATTGAAAAGCTACAAATTGATTTAAAAAGCTTCCTCTCTAACAACCTCCTTGGTCTGGAGCTACAAGTGTCTACTAAGCCCTCCCCCTTCTAATAACACCCCCTAGTCTGGAACTTCACGTTTCTACCAAGCCCCCTCCCCTCATATTAACCTGCCTTAGTCTGCGGCTACAAGTTTCTACCAAGCCTCCTCCTTCTACTAAGCCCCTGCCCCTCATAATAACCCCCTAAGTCTAGGGCTACAAGTTTCTACCAAGTCCTCCCCTCCTCCTTTTAATAACCCCATAGTCTGGGGTGTCAACTTTCTTCCAAAGCTTCTTCTCTCATAACCTCTTTAGTATTAAGAGCTACATATTTCTACCAAGTCTTCCCCTCTAATAACCCCCCTTAGGATAGAGCTACAAGTTTCTTCCAACACCTCTCCCTCCTCCCTCATTTAATAACACTCTTTAATAACACTCTTAGTCTGGGGCTTCAAGTTTTAAAAAAGCTCCCCCTCTCTATCAATGCCCATAATCTAGGACTTCAAGTTTCTATCAAGCCCCCCTCTCTACTAACCCCCTTACTTTAGAGCTATTAGTTTTTACACTGTTCTCCTTTTCCAATGATCCCTCCCCTCAGATAAGCCCCTCCCTTACATTAGTCCCCCTTGACAACACCCCTCTGGAATCCTTTGAAGCCCCACAGGGGGATTATTATTTCATTTACCCTCACAATTGAAAAAATGACCTTGAACAATGGTACATGGTATTAAATAATGGGATTATATGCTTTTTGCTCATCTTCCAGGTTTGAGAGGTGTGCGTGTTATGCAACAGATTATTCCTTTCCGTAAAAGTTCAATTGAAATTTTCTTCAGTTCAAATTTGGTTGTCCTGACCACTGTAAATGTAGCAAGGATCTGCCTTAAAGAGCCCTCCATATCTCCTGTGTCATGGCATAAAAGATCAGTTGAGGTCGACGGAACTGTGGTCAGTGGTATGAAATATCAAGGTAAGTTGATTCAATTGATGCATTTGGATAAATTGTTGGTCCTGTGTTTAGTGAGGTAGACTTTAAAATCAAGAGGTCTGGGTTCTAGCTCTAGCCAGGTTAGGGTATTGTGTTCTATGTGGAGACACTTTACCCTCTAAGTGCATTAAAAGTTCTTGCAGTATTGCAAATCGTTCTTGTGCTTAGCCCTTTTTTTCGTCGTGATTGAAGCCTTTAGATTTATATATGAAGAGCCACAAATCTAGGCCCTTTCTTTTGGCCAAGCTTAGAATCTTGTGTGACTGTTTTCTTTTTTTCTTTCCTGTTCTGCACAGCTGGCCAAGAATGTGTTATTTCTCTGTGCAAATCTGATGTTAACTCATGGGAGTCCTGTCACGATACAATGTTTGAGTCCAAAATTGTGAGAGGCCCAGCCAATATGGGTCCTGCCAGGAGGGTTGCCGAGGGACCTTTTCTTATAGTTACAGGTGAGCACATATCATAGCAAACCATTTTCTAAAGCAGTATTTTAATGTATAATATTGTTTACTTATAAACAACTGTAGAATACTTTGTTGTCGCTACTTATTATAAAAGTGATTCCTACCGAAAAAGACAAAATAACAAATCCAGTATAAGCTCCATTTTACCCCATAACATGTAATTTTCAACGTAATTTTCTCTGGGTTCTCTGTATTTTTTCATCTAATTAAACTATGACAACTGTTCAAAGAAATGGGTACCCTTTTTGCCTGCCTTTCTATGCTCATGCAAAGGAGTTTAGACATGAACGGCTATGAAGGAGCCATTCAAAAAATGAATACTCTTTTGCTAATGCCAAGGAGTCTCAACATGTATATGTTTGAACATCAAGTTTACAACAACCACAGAAAAAGGACCAAAGAAGGTTAGCACCAGAGTCCAGAGAAAACTGACCTCTTTACCGAGCACACGAATTCCGGAGGAACATGAATCTTTGAAGTAAGCTTTGAAATCTTCTTTGTCTTGGCGTGTGTCGAAGATTTTCGTATTGGTTTCTTGGTCACCATAATCACTGTCCTGCACCAGCTCTACAATCTCTTCCAGGCACCTCTTGAGAGCAGACATCTTGCACAGTGGGATGGCGTACAAGACCACGTTTTGGGTGATGTCAAGAACAGCGGTGATGACGATCTCTGTTGTCTTTATTCTATACTGATCGATCACAATCTTGGTACCAGGAGTTAGTGAGCGGGACAATCCATTTCCTGTATTCGGGAAGGATTGATTGCCCTGGTTAATAAGCACGAAAACATACGGGTAGGAGTGTTTGCCGGTCAATCTGTGAGGAATGGCTTTAATGATATCTCCACTGAGGCCCAGGGTTTGTAGATTGGTCGTTGTTGAGCTTGCGGCTATGTAATACGTTGTGTAGTTCTTGGTTATAACAGTTTCGACTTTTTCCACGATGGAGAAAATCTCCAAGGATGTCGCCAACAGGAGCATTGTGATGTACAGGGCCAAGAATACTTCAAACGCTTTCTCTGTATCTCTGATGAGATTTCTAATCCTTTTAGCTTGATTCCTGGCCAATTCTTCTTTAGGATAATGGCGAGTTTCTAGCCTTCTTCTAAAATTGTATACTTCGCAGTTGAGAAAGAACAGCAGGCTCAGGAACGCGTAGAACACTGGTAGAGCGAATGCACGGTGCACGATGAAGAACACTCCATCCAAAACAACTTGAGGATGTGGAAAGGTCTCATTTTTATTTGAGATATTTCCATGTTGGATCTTTGGTTCCACGGGGATGAGGTCAGGAATCAACATCTGCGAAACGTGTAATCCGAGTGGTAGGCTGAAAAGAAATAGAAAGGACGCAACGACAAACGGTAAGATGGAACTGGACGAGGCTCTTTGTCTGACATCTTCTTTGGTGATGGTCAGCTTCTTCAGGAGTTCCTCAAAGTTTCCCATCAGGAAAAATATCAGACCTGTGTGATGATTCACGATCCAGCTAAAGCCATAAGCCATATTCTTGATGTCTGTTAGCGGACACAGCCAGTCGACCTCTTGCAAAGTTCGCAACCCCATAAAACCCATGGAGTACACGAAGAAAGCCCACATAAATACAACCACTATGGCTTGCCACGCAGCGTACAGGAAACGACAAACATTAGTCGTCGATGGTGTCCAATTCGGTTTAGATTCAAGGTAAAGGCGAACTGGCTCAAACCACTGCCCTGTAGCGACGAAATACCAAACAACAAAAGGATGCAGCAGCGTATGATTGTTATTATCCTGTGCGGCTTCTGTTGTTTGGGCTATACTACGCGGATCGAGGTTAAAATTTGCATCCTCATCATCTGCTTTATACCCCTGATTTTCTCTTCCAAGGAGTTTCTCCATTATAGCGGTCTTTTAGCTCTTTTCTATCCGGCTGTAAATGCAAATATATTGCTTTATTAAGACAGTAGAATTCTTTTGTTCCGCACAGTTTGTTTCAAGGGAAACCCCCCTTTTCCACTCGCGAGACGTAATTGGTCGAGTAAAAATGATTCGTTTTCTTAGAAAAAGAAAGTCAGTGAACCGTAGAAGGTCCCTTCATAGAGACAATGCGAATTGACATACATGGTCAGTGGACGTCTCTGGAAAGTAAAGTCGGTTAATATCAAAAATGAAAACTACGTTGCTATTTTAGGAGTTTCTTAACCGTTCGCTATCGTTGTTTATTGCTCATCTATCGAAACTGAATGAATAAATGAGAGGGTTAGATTGGTCGCTCTGCGAAATTCACGAAAATGTGAGCGTTGTGCACGGTCAACTTGAATTTTGCTAAGATGTTTCGCGAATCAACGATAACAATCGCCAGTCAAGGGTTTGAGTAATTGTTGTATGTTCTCGTGACTTATAAGTTTGATAGATGGGCGCGTGTAAGTCACAGGATAGTTACGAGACACGCTGGATCAACTTCTCTTTGTGTTGATCTTTCCGAGGTCATGAACTGGCTGAACATCAAAATGAAATGCATTTTCATGAATTGTGAATCAAGTAGCTTACTTGCTAAACGAAGTAAAGCACGATAGATACATTCGTTACTGGTTTTTTCCTATATTTTTACATATTCTGTTGCCCAATTAGCAGAATCGCACCTCATCGTTCAATATTTGAGTATCTTACAGTGAAAAAGACTGAGATTAATTCTCGGAAATGTAAACTTGGCAAACTGTCAAACAAACAAATAAACGGAATTACACAAAAAAAAGAAGACTGAAAAACGAAATTTCGAGAAAGGAGTCAATTAAGAAATGCCGACTGATGCATTTTCTTTCTGTGTGGCGTTGTGTGACGAGTTCAATTAAACTAATGGAAAATTTGCGAGATATTGTGCATTTTGCATAACATAGTTAGATCTTGCTTGTCGGCCGTTTGTAATCCGTGTGCTCCTTTCAACCGTTTTACCTCTACGAATGACTTCATGTAATTTCTCCCAACAATATCCCTCCTGTATCAAACATTAAGATAACGAGAATAAAGGACATGATCACCAGCTAAAGAAGCTCTTGATTGTTAAATAAATTCTCCTTGTCAGCACCTTAGGAAATGTATAGAGAACAGTATGGAGAATATGCATACTGATGTCAGGGGGTAAAGGGTGAACACTGTGTAATATTTATCAGATAATATTATCTCTACTCTTTTTATGTTCTTTGTTAATTTTTGAATGTTAATTAACCATAGCAAACTTTTGTTGTATTTATTTAACACAAATATACTAATACTAGTTTTATGACATTAGAGCTAACGACTGGAAAACTGAATAGAAAGAACGACGAAGCTTGTTATTTATTTTTTTTGTTATCAGTGTTATCATTTGTTTAGAGTTGTTTTGGTTATTATTATTATTGTTTTTGTTTTTTTTTTTGTACGATTTTAAAGTACTTTACTAGCTATACACTGCCCCAACCTTTACCAAAGGTACAGAGTCCGCACCCACCCTCCCATTAAAACAAAATTTAATCGGTTAAAATGATTTGTTCATGTATGGCTTGTGAGTGCGAACTCGTTAGAGGCCCTGCCAATAGGGGCCCAGCCGCACGGATTGCTAAGGGACATTTTTTCGATAGTCACAGGTTAGAACACAAAATGGCCAATTATTCCACAAAGCAGTATTTTATTAAGAATAATTGTATTCGATTTAAAACTTGATCTATTCTTTTAAAAGTTAATTGTAAAGACATTTTTTACACTTTTTGTAGTATGTGATAAACCACTGGAAAACTTTTGAGATGCATTGCATCCTGCAAAGAATGAAATCTCTATTAGCGTACGCTACAATTATAGGAAAGCAGATCGTTTTTTTCACTATAAAGTTTCCTCTGTTAATCTTTTGACTCCTAAGAGTGACTAGCATCTAATTTCTCCTTACAATATCATCCCTGAACCACACATTAAGGTCTTGAGAATAAAAGAAATGATCCCCTACTAAAGAAACTCTTAATTGTTAAACAAATTCTCTTTGTCAGCACCTTAGAAAATATATAGAGAACAGTATGGAGAATATGCATACTGATGTTAGGTTGTAAAAGGTCTTAACTCTGTGAACCACATTGTTTTGGAGTGGATTGATCTTAAATCACCTTATGCACCTATCGTCGAGATTGAAAGTACATACATTACATTATTTACATTATTTGCAGTATTTACAATTTTTCCCATGGGTTTGCAAATATTACGGTTTTTTGTACAAAACTTACGTGTTTTCTTTCTTTTAATTTCAACTTAATTTTGCAAAGAAACGTTGCTTAGCAACGGGATCAGCTTTCGGTCCCATTCTCCTTTGGGATGTCACAAAACTCTCCCCAAAAACGGGTATGGAAACGGAGAAGTGTTGTGTGAGATCCCAACGAATAGTTTTTTCTTTCTTAACTGCCCTAATGTAATGTGACAAGCTTCCTTGACGCTCGCCCATGGTCTTATATCCTGCAAATTGTTGTCAGGGTTCACTATTTTTCAACTGCTTCAACTGTGGCTGCTGTTCAAAGAAATGGGTACCTCGTTTTGCTTGTTTTTATGCTAATTCAGAGGTGTTTCAACATGTATATGTTTGAACATCAAGTTTTCAACAACCACAACAAAAGGACCCATGAAGGTTAGCACCAGGGTCCACAGAAAACTGACCTCTTTACCGAGCACACGAATTCCGGAGATGCATGTATCCTTGAAGAAATTTTTAAAATCTTTTTTGTCTTGCCGCGTGTGGAAGATTTTCATGTTGGCGTCTTGGTGATCATAATCGCTGTCTTGCACCATCTCCACAACTTCCTCTAGGCATCTCTTGAGAGCATGCATCTGGCACAGTGGGATGGCGTACAAGACCACGTTTTGGGTGATGTCAAGAACAGCGGTGATGAGGATCTCTGATGTCTTCATCCTATACTGATCGATCACTTTCTTGGCATGAAGTGACGAGGAGAGCGTTCTGCCTCCGCAACCCCCTGTTCCCGGTAAGGATTGATTGCCCCGGTTCACGAGCACGAAAACGTGCGGGAAGGAGTGTTTGCCGGTCAATCTGTGAGGGATGGCTGTGATGGTATTTGTATCCATCGTTTTCAGACTGCTCGTTGCAGCGCTTGCAGGGATAAAGTGCTCGACCGTATTGTTCACGGTTATGACAGTTTCCACTTTCTCCACGATGGAGAATATTTCCAGGGCTGTCGTCAACAAGAGCATAACGATGTACAGGGTCAAGAAAACTTGAAACGCTTTCTCTGTATCTCTGATGAGATTTCTCAACCGTATGGCACGTTTCCTAGCTTGGTGTTCGCGAAGATAATTGCGATCTTTTAGCTCTTCTGTAAACTTATTTACTTCGCAGTTGAGAAAGAAGAGCAGGCTCAGGAACGCGTAGAACACTGGTAGAGCGAATGCACGGTGCACGATGAAGAACACTCCATCCAAAACAACTTGAGGATGTGGAAAGGACTCATTTGTAACTGAGATACTTCCATTTCTGATCTTTGGCTCTACGGGGATGAAATCAGGAATCAACATCTGCGTAACGTGTAATCCGAGTGGCAGGGCGAAAAGAAACAGAAAGGACGTCACAACAAACTTGAGGATGGGACTGGACAAGTATCTTCGTCTGACATCTTTTTCAGTAATGGTCAACCTTTTTAGGAGATCCTCAAAGTTTCCCATCAGGAAAAATATCAGACCTGTGTGATGATTCACGATCCAGCTAAAGCCATAAGCCATATTCTTGATGTCTGTTAGCGGACACAGCCAGTCGACTTCTTTCAAAGTTCGCAACCCCATAAAACCCATGGAGTACACGAAGAAAGCCCATATGAATAGAACCACTATGGCTTGCCACGCAGCGTACAGGAAACGACAAAGTTTAGTCGCTGATGGTGTCAAGTTCAGTTTAGATTCAAGAAAAAGGCGTACTGGGTCAAACCACTGTCCTGTAAAGACGAAATACCAAACTGCAAGAGGATGCAGCAGCGTATAAATCCTACCATCTTGTGGGGCTTCTGTTGTTTCATGCGGATTGGATGTGAAATTTTCGCGTTCACTTTCCTCTTCATCAGTCTGCGTTCCCTTTGGAATGAGTCTTTTCGACATTATTAGCGTTTCTTTTAGCTCTTTTCTATCCAGCTGTAAATACAAATACGTTGCGTTATTTAGTAGAGTTCTTTTGTTCTGTAGTTTGTTTGAAGGGAAACCCCCTTTTCCACTCGCGAAACGCAATTGGTCGAGTAAAAATGATTCAGTTTCCTAGAAAAAGATAGAGACAATGCGAATTGACATACATGGTCATTGGATACCTCTGGAAAGTAAAAGTCAGTAAATATCAAAAATGAAAACTACGTTGCTATTTTAGGAGTTTCTTAACCGTTCGCAATCGTTGTTTATCGCTCATCTATTACTAACGTTTCTTTTCGCTGCCTTTAGCTTGAAAATACAGATCTGCTGTCTCAACGCTCTTTTGTTTACAACCGTTCTCTGAGGAGTAATCCCCTTGTTTGACTCTCGAAAAGTGATTGGTCGATTTAAAATGAGTCGTTTTCACAGAAATATAGAGCCAAAAAACGCTTAAATATGTTATCGCAAGTAAACTGCGTATTGAAAGGTGAACATTTATGATGAATGTTACTGCATCGTTACACTAAGGTTTGAATTTTGCTCAAGAGTTGCGAGAGGCAACAATATTGCCAAAGTTTCTCCGATATGCGGGATACATTTTATCAAATTGTTTTATTTGCTTAAGCTCGATAGGAATTTACGGGCGAGCCATGGGTTAGTCACGAGACAAGCTGGATCAACTTCTCTTTGTGTTGATCTCTATGGGGTCATGAACTGGCTGGAATTCAAAATGAAATGCGTTTTCATTTAATTTGAATCAAGGAGCATAGTTGCTTAAAGGAAAGCATGATAGATAATCTACAAATGCTGTTTCCAGCAATGCTACGTCACAATATGGGACAGGATTTGAATATCTACCGGTAATACTGGAGAAAACAGTTGATTCTAAGGAATGTAACCTTGAGAGATTGTCATACAACAGAGGAAAAAGTAAAGAAGAATGACAAACGAAATTCCTGGAAGTGGAGATTGTTGAAATTTAACGAGTTTTATCTCTCTCTGTGAAAAGTTATTTTGATCTGTCTGGCGTCATGTAACAATTTCTAGGAAATATTTGCGGTTCAGGTTTTCTTATCTGACGACGTGACCTTATTTGGTCGTGTGAGACGTTTCAAGTGTATCTGGTTGCTCTTTCAATCGTTGAACACCTCCTAATATTTTCGCAGCTCGGTACTGAAATATCCGCCTCTATTCGGCTCCACGCACTTCGATGAACAGTTTTAGTAAATAACAAACAGACGTCGAAAAAAAATAGTTTATTTCTGTAGATATGCCAAAAATGGTCGTAAATTAAATTTTTGACGCGTCATTTTTTCTCTTCGGCTGCTTGGAGGCGAATTGTTATTGCTAATCGCTCCCGATCCAGTCAACGCGTGTGAAAAGCATCATTCACCTGTGTGATGTAAAATAACCTCTGACAGTTACAATGTATCATTATTGCTCCTTTTATGTTTGTTCTTTCTACTGTGATGTTATTGTACCATAGAAAACTGTTATTTTACCTTTTTTGGTAGAAAGTACCAGCAGTTGTTTCTGACGCTATAAACACAGTGAATAGAGTCAGGTGGCACTCAAGAGAACTGTTGAAAGCGCACTTGCTATTTTTCAGTTAGTTTATCGTTTTTATGTTGTTGTTGTCGTTGTTGTTTTTGGAAAGTTCTATACTAACTATACAATGCTCTCCTCTTTAACAAAGATACAATGTCCTTACCTTCCCACTCACGGAAACAACGCTTTAGTTGCTTAACCAAATTCCTAAAATATACCTACATGTTTTTACTGCGCACAGATAGAACAAAATATACAGCTCTTGGTTTTTAACCGAGGAATAAAGCTATGCTTTACTTGAAGTGCCATAATCCCTCAAAATTCACTAATGATTCGTCGTACGCTGCACTAACATATTTAGTCAGTGCCTTTAATTTTTCGCTTCCTCTTATTCAGGTACCTCATCTCAAGCGAATCACATTACCACAACCTTGAGGCAGTTTGCAGTGTATATAGCGAACCTCTTCTTTTTAACGTCTGACGCCTGGGTGCCAGTCGTTTCTGATACTGACTTAAACGAGGAAACCGCTGAACAGTATAACTTGATACTCGTTGGAAGTCCTCAAGAAAATTCTTGGATTAAACAATTTCACGAGAAAGTTCCCTTGAAGTACGAGAGTAACACTCTGGTTTTGGGTAAGTATTACAGGAAATTTCTTGACAAATTGAATGCAGAGCCGTACATCATCTTAGACGTGTTATTAATCAAGCAGCCCACAATACCAGAGCAACAACGGACAAAGCCACTTCCATTGAATGGGATGCTAGTGCAACGAAGGGTTACCCTCCTTTTCCTCCTTCCCCCCCCCCTCCCAGCTCGTCGTATCCATTTATGCTCCTGGGTGGAGGGGGTAAAATGACTTTCCCCAAGATGTCGAACCCAGACCCCTCAATCCAGATTCGAACCCGATTATCACTTGGTCACCGTGTCCCCTACATATTCCTTCCTCTACGTGATATGCACTTCAAAGCTTCGAGAAAGAAGGAATACAACCTCAAAAGGAAGATACTTGACGCTTTTTTTAAAACATCTTTTGCCCGACAGGTCGTTGTACATTCTCCTCTCCCCAGACCGGCGCGGTTTTCCTGGCACCACACGCTGGCTCTCGCCTGGCATTAATTATTACTGGAAACTCCATTGATGGCATTCGAGACGCCGTGAGCCTGGCCACGCCCACGATTCCACCGATGACAAGATCGCCGTTTTCAAATATGGTTCCTGATTACGTTATAACCGGTCCGATGTTCCGTTCTCATGGGCCCGGTGGCTACCTTTGCACTGGATTTTGGAACAACCACTGGGGTTTTGGAAGAGAGATATCGTCATGTGTTTGTTGATCTGTGAAAGAGGCCGATAAGATGTACGTGTGTCACGCCTTCTTCAAAATAGTTGGTCACTCTTGTGTCACGCAATCTCCTGATCCTAAGTGAGGCCTATTAAGGAATGTGCGATTACAGTGGGTGATTAAATATATAAACAAATAGAATTCTGTACTAAGACGTCCACCAAGTGAATCTTCGTCTAGGAAAGAATTGAGTATTGAGTGTTGTGCTTTGAAGAACTTAGCGAAAATACTTTGATGCATAGATGAGAACCAAGCAACATATTCAACCCATGCATGACACAAGCTCCCGTTTTAAAACGAAGCTGGAGCCTCTGATATGAACACTGGTTTTTATTATCAAGGCAAAAATAGCAATATTGATATTGGTGCTATATAAGTATTATTATAAAAAAGTCATTTTCGCAAGTAATTTGTTGGCACTTAGCCTCATTTCTAAAGTGAGGCAGTTTAAATTTAGGATTGAGGCCATGGCGGACGAAAGCAAGCGTACAACCTCATTTCGAAAGTGAGGCAGTTTGAATTCAGGACCGAGGCCATTGCGGACGGAAGCAAGCGTTCAACCATTGTGTAATCACAAATGCAAAATTAAAAAAATGCGCTTTGCATTTTGTAATTGAGAGGTGATTTTTTTCTTTGTTTGATGATGCTAACTTTGCTGTGGGTTCTAGACTCTGGATTCTATGACTGATATCCACATGTCACAGTGTGAATTGAAAACTACTGATACTGGTATATATTAAATAATATTTTAGCTAAACGCACAGGGAAAATTTTCTACGTTTCCCTTTAGCTTCCTGGTGCGACCTTTTTCGCGATTTCAAGCACGTGGGCTGGTGCGGAACCAGTCATCCTCAGCCCAGTCCCTTGACGTTCCCTCTCGCCTTGTTCCTTGCGCAAAATCTGGGAAGGAGTGGTGGAGAAAACTGAGTATATGTCCAACAGTTTATATCTAGTATATTGTTGTAGTGGGAGAGAAGATTGGGGACGAGTCATACATGTATTGCTGTCCACGTAATGCATTATTAATAGCCAATCAGAAACTAACTATCTTTCCGGTAATCGGCATTTCTCTTTTACTTAATGAACTCCGAAAAGAGATGCCTATTTGACGTCAAACTGCATTGTTCAAATGTGTGATAGTTTCTGCCAGGTGACGAGGTACTGACGTATTTTCCCTTAAACTGAGTGGCACCTTCTCCTGGCGTAGCAGTATTCAAGTATCTAGCGGACTTAACGCATCGATATTTGTTCCCACAAAACCAAAGAGAAATTTTGCTTCTTCTGTTAAAGTTCAAGCCAAGGTAATTGATTTTTATTCACATCTTCTATAATAGGTTGATTTTTACACCGAAGATTGACACTGATTTCAGTCGGTCGAGCAGTGGGAACATAATTGCGTTTTCCTCGCACGAAAAACTTACTCGTTAAACTAGCCAGTTTGTTACTGGAGGTTCTATATAGAAATACGTATATATTTTCAAGAAAATTATCGTGAGTGATGCAAAGATTTTTAAGGAGGTTCTTTACATGTATGAGAAAAAAAAACACGGTGATGGCTTTTTGGGTTAAACAACCCAAAAAAATAGAAAAAGAACTCTACGTTAGGGTATTGAGTGGTTTGTTCCTCGCACCTATGAGATAATCGCATTAGGGTATGTATCTTGCACCAAACAGATCGCCGCATTAAGGTTTGTATCTCGCACCAATCATATCACAGTAATGGGATATCTCGCACCAATCAGAGCGCTTCTCTTTCCTATGATGTCACGGAATCAAGAGTGACATTAACCAGAAATTGTAGGCTCATTTTGTAAGCAAAATGGTATGAGGTCTTTGTGAGAATCCCGTCGCTTTAGTTCGAGATACATCGGGATTAGAAAGGTTGGCAAGTCATTTTTTGTATCATTTTGTATCATTTTTTGTATCATTTAAGTTAACAGGTGTTTTTAACCGCTCCTTTACTCACTGCGACCCAGCCAGACAACTTATATTCCATCTCGTGCTATGACCAAACATGCCCACTCATTACATTACATAACGTTGGGCATGCACGCGCTTGAATTTTATCCACCAGTTAAATTCCATTTCGCCATTTAGACTTCGCTCCATTACGTATCATTTCCATGTAAAAAACTCTGCATTTTATCACGTATTTTAACCGCACAACCCAAACCAACTAAAAAAAAAATCGCATAGATTTTTATTTTTTTGGCATTTTCTACCAATTAAATTTGCTTTTAGCTACTTTGAACTTAACTCCAAAGCGTTGTAATTCCTTGTAAAGAACCAGAAAGGAGCAAAGTACAGATCGGCAACAACCGAAAAAGGAGCCTCCTTCTTTTCAGTATATCTTCGCTTATTCAAAGAATGGAGATCGCAACATGTCGTTGGTTAGGGCCTATTTTAGATGAAATAGAATTTCAATTTGCTTTCCGTGGTGATATTACATGAAATTATATTTTTAAGGCAATTAACTGCTTTGATTTTTTTCTCTGACGGAGGAACAGCAGTAAGCGGCGTCTCCTTCGCAACTGTTGTTTGGTCTCGTCATTCAACGGTCATTACCGTGTCTCACCTCGACCCACCCGATCGAAAAAAAAACTCTATAAGAGAAGCATGCCTATGTTTGAACTGATCTGTTGACTTCCTTTTCGAATGAGCTGCTCGCAAGTATTTCTTAGTTGAGTTAAAGACGTAGAGTAATGACTCATATCGCTGAAAATTATCCCCAATTTAAAACCGCTCAAATTTTCTGTTTGCTTGATTTCATAAGCGTATTTTCGCGAGCAGCGACTTTGATTTGGAAGAAAGTATTAATGTCGCATTGGAAACTTGTCTAGTTAAAGAAATTGGCGTGTAACTAAAATCTAAAATTCGATCCTTTTCACGATTTTTAGGTCTCTTCATGATCATCGCAATTTTGACTTGAATCAACTGTTTTCCTAATGTTCTGGAAACTCACATCCATTCCTTATGAACATGCCTCTTACACTGGATTAATTAGCGGCGGCAAGATAATCTCTTGGTGAAGAAGACAAGGGAAATTAAATATTTACAATCTAATTATCTCAATTTATTATATCTATAATATTTCATCCTTGAAAAAAAAAATGAATTTAGTCGAAGGGCGAATGTCAGATCCAAGTACCCCCGAGGATTCGAAACTCGCACGCTTTGCTTTCACAGTCCGTTTGTCGACCCAGTGACTTACCGAACAATCGTTGGTTAGCGAGACCATGAACTAGCTTTGTTCATAGATATCTAATCATCTCATCGGTGAGCATTTGATGTGGAGAGCTTGCACGTAAGAGCTCTCACGAGAGCCACGCGTGTTTCGAGGTTGGCGCTGGCTGGCAGAAATGTAGTTCTGAACTAGTGGAGGCAGGAGAGCCTCCTCTTCGCCAATCTAAATGTGATTTCGGTTAAGGAATTCGTTTATCTCTTATTGATATATTCAGTGATATGTTTTTTGTTTTTTTTTTTTGGTTACAGTTATTTTGCCTTTTTATCATGGCGAGTCGGTGGCAAACTTCAGCTTATAACAATAGACGTAAAGGCTGGAGAGGATCTCTTTTCGAAAAAACGGCTAATGAGGTCAGTGCAGCGAACAATATAGGACGTTTGCCAAAAACACTTGATGCTGTTCAGTAAATTCGTAGTATTGGTCGACTGGGAAATTATCATGTGCCTGATAAAATTGGTTGATCCATTTGAAGCGCGCAACAATTGCCATTATGTTAAAACGTTCCTTGTCTGGGCGGTTACTAAGGGAAGAGGAATTTGAAGGGATGAACTCCCGTTGAACGCCAACAACGCATATCAGTTACGCATGAATTTTCGGAATTCAGAACAGAGCACGAAGTTTTATAACTAATATTGTTTATACCCTTCTTACTCTTTAGAATGCCGCACAAACTGGATCGTGTGGACGACACCACCTGTCGGAAAGTGAAGAAATCAACCAGTACCGTACCAACATCAGGCGCTCAATTCAGACCGCCTGCCTTGTAAGTGAAGTCTACTTCCAATCGCTCAGCAACCCTGTAAGAAAGGCAGGATCTTTATATATTCAAATTCTGCATCACAAATTTCAATAATGACATTACTTTGATAAAGCGTTTCTCGATTTAGAGAAGTAAAACCAAAAGTAATCACAATGGCCAATCAGAGAAAAGGAAAAAAAAAACCAAAGTAATCACAATGGCCAATCAGAGAAAAGGAAAAAAAAAACCAAAGTAATCACAATGGCCAATCAAAGAAAAGAAAAAATCATAAGCAGCCTATAAAAAAACCAAGTAAAAATAAGGCACCTGCGTTAAGCGCGGGAAAACGCGGCGACCACGTCGTGATTAGTTCTAGTTTCAGTTTGCCGCTTTGACTGACGGGATGAGTAGCGGCAATTTTCGGGACCAGTGAAAGACCGCACTGTATGCAGCAAAACTAATGCAATCTTGGATTACTTTCGACACTCAATTGAGATCAGTCAGCAATAATACAGTTTATACAGGTCATACTCACAATCACATGAAATAAGTATTTTGTGTGCTCATTCGTCTTCTCTAAAAATACGCTCGCCATGTACATTTTGTATCACGGTTACTAATTATTTTACTTACATGTGCTTAAATTGCATTATGATTATTACGTCGGAAAGCAGGATGTTACGCTAGAAATTCGTGGCTTCGATTATCTAAATCTAACGGGACGAGTTGCTCAAAGTCTGCTTGTGTTTTTAGACACCAATCATCGACCTGCATATAAAATTATAACAGTTTTCTGGTTTATGACCTTACTAACTAATTGATTGATTGATTGACAGACATATCCTCGTCCAATCTCTCCACGTGCTGCAGGCTCCCCTACAGTCACGTGGTCTCAACCACCAGTGGTAGATAACACAACGAGGTAATTGAAAAATTGTGGCTACGGCGGGGAAGGGAGAGAGCAACTGATTTCTGCTTGTTTATCACCGGCCAAGTTTATTTGTTACCCAGTTTAACTGCATCACTAGGTATACAACAAACAAAATCCATAGATCTTTTTCTATTTTTGTTTCTAAGGCGGAATGCATTTGAGTTTACAAGACCATCAAGGATTTACCGTAAGTATAGACCCTGCAACGCTAGATTCTCTTAACTAGGTGCTCTAAATCCCTCGTAGATTCTTTTCATGAAGTAAGAATTCAGTCAAGATAACACTGTCTCAACACTTTCTCTGTGATCAGCACCTGTTACATGCTCATCAGTCTAGTTAGTATTTGTTTACGGCAGGGCTTAGTAAATCGCTGCTTCTTGTAGGGGAAGATTCTGAGGAAATGTTTAAATTGAGGAGACGTTCGCACCTGCTGTTCGATGAACTGGAACGAGAGCGGCAAGGAAATGCCCAGTTGAGAAGACAAGTAGAGAGGTAACTCTACGTGGAAATTATTTTCCCATATCCCATTTTCCCCTTTTTTTCCTTTTTCCACTTTTTCCATTTTCCAATGTTCCAATTTTCTTATCCTTCGGTTCTACTGAAACGTGAAAAGCAACAAGCTTACTTGTCAACAAAGGTCATTTTTCTCCCTGTAATTTACCCCACGAAAACCCTTGACACAAACCTGCTCTACTTCATTGTACGGTCCAGCTTCATTATTGTCATGCAACATTATTATCTACCAGATTCTCTTCGTTTCCTTAACCCTCGTTTCTAAACAAATTGCAAGAAAAAAAACCGGCTGCTAAAATGTTTACAGAATCTTTCTTCATAATCACGAATCACGTATCACAAAGCTTACGATTAACTACAAAAGGCGAGCACTATGGCGTGACTTGTAACGGAGAAATTAGGAGAAAGCGTAACTTATTAGTAAGAGTCACGCATCACGGAACGTCACGAAAAAGAGCTGTGCTGCGTGATGATCAAAATTATGGCGTGCATGAAAATACTCTGATATAGTTCTCTGCTTTTACGTTTTTTGATTCTTTGAAGGTTAAAATTGAACGTCTAATCCTATGAATATTGTCTTAAATCTGTTGTAGATTGCGCGATCATCAGGGGCGAGTAATTTCTCTTGTGAATGAAATCGACGGCGTGCGGAGGGAAAACGAGTCCTTGGCGCAAGAAATTCGCGTCAGAAAGGAAGCACGTACGGCACATGCTGCTCAAATTGGATCAAGATTTTAGTAAGTCAACATAGCGGACACAGCTGTCGATTCAACATAGCGGTCAAACGTCTAGCATGCGCGAGGGGATTTATTTTGGCCACCCCACCCCAGACCCCCCAGAGGAAAAAATAAGAAACTGTTGTCAGCGCTGTCTCGCAAAATCAGAGAAAGATAATTGTGAAGTTCAAAGAAAACTGTAAAAAGGAATCAAAAGAAGTTAAAAGGAAAACCGACACTGTTGGGACACACACCTTATTCAAGTACTGGTATTCTGGTGATTTACCATTCCGTTTTGAGCCTTACCGAAAATGGTTTCCCTTTCTGAAACACTGTGACTTACTGGCTTTTGTAGTTGTTAGTAACTAGTGTGAGACAACTTGGATCCCACAGCCAGAGAGCACGCCACCCGAATCATTACAAAGTTCGCACATGCGCAAACGTTTGACCGGTGTATTTAGTAAGTCAGGTCACGTGACACGAGACAGTCACTTCGCGTGCACCAAGAACTCATCGATACAGACCTTAACCGGGACACGAATGCAAATGACTTATGGCATTAAAAATAAATCTTTGCCGCTTTGACTTCATCCGATCAATTTTAAAGGTTCTGTCTTTGGGACAGTTCGCAAATGAGTACCTAAAAAGTTTCGGGATTAAATTGGCTTTGTTTCACATTATTCTGGATTAGTCGAAAAAATTTCTACTGGGACCTGTGTAAGAAGCACGTGTGCTCATGCGCGCCAAACAATGCCCGAAAATATTCTACCATGCTATTGTAGAGGGAGGGGTGGGTAGTATTTAATCCGAGTTGGTTCCTTTCAAGTTTATTATGCAAGAGATCATGAGCTTATGTTTTCCCCGTTTTCTTGTTTTATCCAGCGCAACCACGATAATTTTCATCTGCGAATGTATTTTTCAACACATGATGATTAAACTGCATGTAATCTTTCCACGCAGGTAACAAGTAGCCACATAACTGTGCTATGCATGAATTCCTTGAACTCCTGGAAAAATCAAAGTCGACGGATAATCAGCAAGAAGTGCATTTGAAGACGATGGGTATCAACATGTTGCCCAACTGTTTACATCCGAACGTAGATTCTCCATACCAGACAGCGCAGTAATGCATTATGCTGGTAGGGAGAATTAAACAGTATAATCATAAACCAGGTGAAGTAATCACCAGTACGTCTTTCCAACACAGTCCATTTTCACGTATCGTCGATTGACGTTACTGAGAAGAAGACTTTGATTTATTTTGACGCACTTGTTTGAAATAAGTGTCTTTCTTTCCGTCAGTTCCTTTCTGCCTTTCCTTATTATATTATTTCGTTTCCACCTTCCTTTACGCCCTTAAATTGGTATTTACATTCTTCACACTGTTTTTTTCTTATTTCCTTTGAGAACAAAGGGAGAAAAAAAAGTAAAATTTGTTTGACAGTCAGGAGTTTCTTAAATAGTGATCATTGCCGTTATTCTCATGACCTTTATATTTGATCCGAGGGTGAAACTGTAGGAAGAAACTAGAAGCCGGTCACTCTAAAGGGTTAAAGCGTGAACGCACACAAAGCCAATAACCGACTTGTGTTTTTTTACACTAATTTGAAGACGAAAATATGACTCTTGCTGTAAGTAAGTCTCCCTATGTGCTAAACAACAGAAACGGCCAGTTTTATACAAAACTGTTGCGGAACGAAAAGTTAATTCAACTTCAATTGAGCTAAGTCGTTTTTTCTCTGCTTCAACAAAGTTTTATCAGACCATGTCACGTGGCCCCACACCTTCACGGTCACGTGATTCAAATGCCATTTTTGGACGCAAGCAAAAAATAACAAGCTTAACATAGTTCTCAAAGTTTTCCTAATTAGGATTAGAATTTGTAATAAGAGCTTCAAAACATAAGATTTGTGACACGAGAGAAAACTAATATCGGCCCATATAAGCTACTTTATGAACAAAGTTTCACCACCAATGGTGAGAATCTCTTAATGGGGTAATGGCTTTTACGGCTAACGGTTGAAATTTTGACCAACTTACGGCTAAAGATGGATATATAGATTTATCATCACTTTGCAACTAAAAAATTGAATTACACGATTGTTACAAAAGATAATATCAATAATAACATGAAAAGGAACTAGCATTGGTTTAAAGCAAGTTTGTATTAAAATTTGTTTGTATACCTGTTACTGCTGGCTAACGGTTAACACAAAATGACATTGTGGAAAGGGAGAATTTTAACGGTTCACTAGTTTTACGACTTATAGTTTAAAAAAGTGGTCCATTTTCACGCCTAGGTGCTACATTTTTTGGCCGTTTTACTGTTAGTTTATTATCCCATTGAGATCCTCTGTCAATTAATTCCTGAAGCCATATGGTTTGCACAAAGAAAACACGAGCAACTTCAATGATACTTTTATTGAACTTTATGCGACTAAGCATTTATCTAAATAGCTTATTAAAATAGTCTTTTTTTTATTTCATACCTTGTCGTTGTTGTCTTTTTATTCTAATTCAAATCAAATTATCTTCTCCGATGCGTCGCACCATAAATAAATTAAGTCTAATATTAGAATTATGCGCCGATCAATTCGAAGCTTCAACATACGGGTATTTTACCGTCGTCCGCGCCCGGGGAGAGGAGAATTTGAATCTTTAACCGGAAGTGTCAAGTCTTTCCAGCGGAACACAAGTGTCATATCTTTAAATATCGAGGTGTTTAAAGGTAAATAAAGTCAATCTGTAGAAAGTCACTGTCGCTGATTTCACCTGTTACAAAAAAAAAATGAACATCAAATCCGGCACTTGGGTGGGGAATTTGAACAAAAATTTTGCCCCGGTGGGGCGGGAGTTTGAACAAATTTGAATAAACCAATCTTTAAAAGTTCAAATGCCTGGGAGTTTCCTGGGGGTAGATGTTGAATCTTCGGATTGATCGACGCATTACAATCGCGCCTAAGCAAACAATAAATAAATTACACATATTAGCACCTTTTTTTTCCCCACACCACCCCAGCTGACTTGGTGAGCTTGTACAGAGTTCTATTAGTTTTTCAACTTCTAATTTCAATAGGAAGTGTTTCATTTACGCAACTGGTGAAAGCCGTGGTGCGTTTAAGAAATAGTCATTCTTGGCATTCCTACAGAACGCTTTCGAATCATGGGCAAAAAGACGAATTAAAGCTTAGCCAAGATAGAATAAATAAACTACGATTTTAAGCAAATTCGTTTACGTTACTTCAAATAAATAAATTTTTGTTTTTCTACGAAATCGTAATTTTTTCACTCGCTTTAAATTTTCGATTTGCAAAATCTAATCGCAAAGCTGTATCATACCGAGAACTACCAGGCCAAACGTCCGAACTACAGACACACACCTTTTCCAATAACAGTATGGAGATTCAAGGATTCGAGTAAAAGAAAACTCAATGAGACTGTCCAACAACCCTCTGAGGTCGTTCACACTTTCTACGACTCTAACAAGAGGGATATGTCTCAATCCTTTTACGTCACGTTTAATCATCTTATTGAATTTGTTAAGTTTAGGATTTTCAACTCGTGTCGGTATTTTCCATCATCAGCCATCCTTATTCCTTCCTGCTTGATTATTGTACCTTTGGCGTTTCTCTTTTTTACCAAACTAATATTTTGTAGTCATTAACAATCCGGTCCAATCTTCTCCATTGTTAGCCATCCTTGTACCATCCTGGTTTATCTTTGCATCTCCTGTGTTTTTATATCTCACCAAACTAATATTTTATAGTCATTAACAATCCGGTCCAATCTTCTCCATTTTTAGCCATCTTTGTACCATCCTGGTTTATCTTTGCATCTCCTGTGTTTTTATATCTCACCAAACTAATATTTTATAGTCATTAACAATCCGGTCCAATCTTCTCCATTGTTAGCCATCTTTGTACCATCCTGGTTTATCTTTGCATCTCCTGTGTTTTTATATCTCACCAAACTAATATTTTATAGTCATTAACAATCCGGTCCAATCTTCTCCATTCTAAGTCATCCTTGCTTTCTCTTCCTTAATTATTGTTTCTTCAGCGTTTTTCTATCTTACCAAACTAATATTTAGTAGTCGTTTCCAATCCCTGTCAATCTTTTCCATCCTTAGCCATCCTACTTCGTTTCTTGTTTATTTTTGCCATCGTGTTATTTTTCTTTCTCATCAAAGAAATATTTGGTAGATGCCTTCAGCTTGAAGGCAATTTTGAATGTCACAGACTCAAAAAATGCTCTGCGTTTCTTTTTTATTCATACCATTTACCAAAAAATGAAAATGAAACATCAATGGAGAATTCCTCTTCAGCTACAGTCTGGTCGAGATATAAAGTTACTTCAAGTACTTATCAAACAATCCCTGCTTGTCCATAATGAGAACATCCTCATAACCTCCGATGAAGACATCATTAGCAAATAGCATTGGTGTTTTTCGAGTACCAGCTTTGGAGAAAACTTTATCTCTTTGCGCTCTGTTCATGGCTACATCTAGCGCAATCCACTCGTCAAAATCCGATCGGTTTGAAATCCCTTTTGCCTTTAAGAACTTCTCCAACAGTTCATTGTCCTTTCGCACCTTGAAATTCGTCGACATGGCTGCGTAGTACACGCGAATTCTTCCACGCCCGCCTAAATCGTCTTTCACTCCGAGTTGCGCGCCGACGCCGTCCTCCAACACGTTGTTTATGAAGACTTTGAAAGGGCTTCCGTTGATGGAAATGTCTCCCCATTTTATGAACACTTCGTAAGCTCCAGGCTCCGTGGGGATGTACAGCACGCTATGCTCTGTAAATGTGCCCTTCTTCACACTTTTGACGTAGGGCACTGGAATGGAAACCGCTGGACAGCTGATGCAGACGCTCAAAGGGCCTTTGGTTGTGTTATCAGTTACGACCCTGAATCTCCCTACACGGCCGACCTCCCCGGCGATAAGCCCCGGTCCCTCAGCTGTATTCGTAGGAAGTTCAGGTGATATAGATCCATTTGTCAGAAAGGGAGGGTTAAGTG